CATGTTGTGTGGTTTTTCAGATCAGACAAAGAAATGAAAGAGAAATGATTTTTGATTAAGGTTTTTTAAAACATTTTTTTTTTGTTTTTTTTTTTCTAACGTATGAGAACATATGCAATTATATGTACAATGTAAATTATACAGATATGTGACATATGGGAAGTTCCCCTTTAATCACAACACGAAACTTTATTTTACCTCTTATGTACACATACTCTACATATAAGTATTTACATAACTTTTTATTTATAGCACAAGTACTACTCTTACTTACATTATTTTTCTGGTTACTCTGTGTTTAATAATTTAAATGTGAATACCAGACTATGATAATTGTACTCCTATATCTTCCGGTTCAGGAGTATATTTATATGCTTTTACAAATATATGGGATGTTCTACATCGTTTAAGAAAGCAGAAAGAATTATGTGAAATGCAATTTCTTTTTTTTTTTGTAATTTAATTTTCATGTAGGTCTATATGACTTCTTTGAACCAAATGTTATAGTAGCTAACATATATTGGTTCTTAAAGGCGAACAGAGATTTTCAACCTATTGTCTTAACTTATTTGAAGTAATCTAAAGTTCAAAATGGGAAAATAAGAGAATTGAGTGGAAAACAGTGCACTTTGGAGAGTATTCCACAAAAAAATCTGACAAGAGATAATTACCAGAAATCATTGTAAGTTTAGAACTTTTAAAATAGTTATAACAAACATCACACAATGTGCGAATAGCATTTCTTTTTGCATTTAATGATTTTATACTTTCATTTAACCTATTTAGTACATCTAACAACTATTATCATCTACGTCATAGACATTAATTTCAATACCATTGACTTCTGGTTACTCATTTTCTGTTTTGATTCCATTCGTTCATTTCTTTCTTACCTAAAGTAGTAACCAAAACCTTAAGCAAATCTCCTATAATTACATAAAAAACAGTCTCTTAAAGCTAAAAGAAAATTTCATGAACAATGTTTTTTTTTGCTCATTTTATTGATTTTTTCTTCCTATAGCTTAGTTACAAGCATTTTGTACTTTTTATTTCAATGTTTTGTGTCAGATTTCTTTATATTTAACTTGTAGCAAGTTTTCTGGTTTGTTTATTGTAATTTTTTTTTTTAATTTTTTGTCTTTTATTTTTAAGTTATAAACGTATTTGAAGACCAGAGCAAGTTTAAAACAAGCAAAAATCATTTAAATCTAAAATATAAGAAAAAAACATTGAAAAAATTAAAGATTCAAAACTGTTGTGAAAACCGATTCACTGTTTGAGTATTTGATTGATAAAGAAAGTGTCATTGTACTTAAAAATTGTTTTCCTACTTATATTTTGTTATTATTGTTGCATGCAAGTATAAGCGCAGTCTTTATACCTATATTTACACTAAGTATATGCATGAAATTTAACTGATTGAGTTCATTAAATCTAAATCGCAAATCTTAAATTTTCACTTTGTTAACTTGCATCTTACACATACTTAGCATATACTTATTTACTTGCTAACATTATCTATAATTATTATAATTAAGTAGACAAAGATATTATTTTAAAAGAAAAACATTTTGTAGTTATCAACTTATTAACTAACTTAAAGTGTTAACTCGTTAGTAACGATAATTTTATTCAAACATGTATTAGCATACTTATGTATATATACTTATTTAAAAGATGTATACTATACATATATACTTAATATATATATATATATAAAATATTTACCTAAAATACTCGATATTATGTAAATATATTCACAATATTAATTTGTTTCTATTTTGGTTTTAGGCAATTTTTTCTTTTAAGTTCCAAACAAATTGCAATTTGTAAATTAATTGAATCATGTTAAAAGATATGTTATTTTAAAAAGTATTTAAACCAGCAAAGTGTGAAGATTATAACTTTTTATGTATTATGCAAGTAAGTATTACGAATATTGCCTCAAGACAATGAAATTATACGGAAGTTTTCTTTTATAATTTTAGCAAAAATAATATTTAAGTACAAAATTTTTTGTATATGCATACATTTGCAAAAATCTGTAATTTTTTTGGTAAAGTTAAATATAAATACATATTAACATTTCTGACCACCGCTTTATATTGAAATTTAAAATTACCAAATATAAAATTTTCAAAATAAAATTGTATTTTTACCCAACACTTACAAGTAGAACCAAAGTAACAAAAAGTATTATACTTAACTACTTTTCAATAGTCCCTATATAATAAGTAACATTAAAAACACTAAGCATTTGGTCATTTCCCCAAAAATTTTTGTTAATAAATTGTATAAATGAATGCGAATCTATAACATTAAAGAGTTAAATATGAAATTACCATTTATAAGTACTTACATAAGTAGGCTCATAAAAATATGCAACAAGAAGGAATAAATAAATAAAATATACAAGGAAATTTGATATTAAAATTTAAATTCTTTATAAGGAATTGTAATTATATTGAATTGAGTATTTTTAATTGGGTATTGCAAAATTAAATTTATAAAAATTTTGGTTAACCAAAATTTAAGCCGCAACATAATCAGTTTTTTTTTATAACATATTTTATAAAATTGAAAATTGAAAACTTTACAAAGATCTTACTTATTTTTTGCATTTTCATATAAATACTGACATAACTACATAATTATATATGTATATGTACTTAGGTTATATTCAAATATACTTATAGTAAGTACTTAAAGTGCTTGCTTGTACAAAAAAATATTTCTGCAATTAAATTAAAGAAAAAATTAGATCTAAAGGAAAAAATAAACTGACCAAAACAGAATTTAGTTAACTACAGAAGAAAAATATATGCAAATATTAAAATAGATTAAAAATAACGCTCAGTAATTAAATAAAAATATTAAATATCTTAAGTGAGTAATCAGAATTGGTTGCTTTTAAATTAAACCGAACAACTCAGTTATTTAAAGTTAGTTATTAATTTAACATAAATTAACATTGTTATAAACATTAGAGGCCCTTACAAACTTAGTTAAATGAACTTTGATCCATATTATGAAGGAAGGAAATGATTTCAGTTCAGCAATTTAAATAGGAAAATTTCATAAAATTTAGAAAATAACCTGCAGTTGATTGAAGGAAAATTTTAGAAAAAAAAGTGATTTGTTTTAAATTTAAAAAATAATAAAATTATTGTGGTTAAAACAATTAGTTTTAATTAATAAGAATCTAATGCTTACCTAAAAATTTTGTGTAAAATATCCGCTTTTGAATAAAATTGGAACTTCCAATTTTTTCCTCAAATACTACAACAACTATATTGAACAAATCATGAAATAAAATTAATAAATATTTCATTCACAAATTTATTATACAGTACACAAATTTAAACTTACAACAAAATATACAAATTTCGGATTATTCTTTAAAATATAAAATATTTTTCATTCACGCCTTTTTTTTTATAAACAGCTGAGTTAAAATATAGGATCAATTATGTGACATGTACCAAATTTTTGCACTTGTATATATATATATGTATATTCTTCTACACATATCCCTCTGATTGTTATACAACGAAAAAGTATTATATTCAAAATTCTGCTTAATAAACATACATGCATAATGTTTGTTTAAAAAACCGAATTATTTATATATACTACATATGTGTAAATACTTATATGGTAAATGCATACATACATATAGTAAAATATAGTCGCAATAAAAATTTAATTATACTTTTTAAATTTATATTAGTACATACTATGCATTTTGATACATTTCATTAAAACACACAGTATGTATATCTCGTGTATCACATTCTATGTATTTCCAGTTTCCATTAAAACTCAGGAAGAAGGAGAAAAAAACAGCTGATTTCATTCTTGTTTCATATTAGTTTTGAAAAATCTATTGCATTTACTCATATATATATATATATATATATATATATTTAATACATAAGTATATTTACATCAGAATATTTGAATACCTACCTACCTACATACCCATACAAATTTACTTATCTAAAAATTCTAGGAGCTTTATTACTCTTGAAAATTCCTGAAAAATGTCACTGCACTGTATAAATGCATAATACAAGTAAATTCACATCTACTTTTCAATTTACATATGGTGTGTATGCATATATTTCATTTATTGTAACATACTCCTTTTTATTTATTGTATTTACTTTATTAAGAAAATGCAGAAAAAAAACTTTCTTTAGACATTCTGGAACCATTTTTATTGATTGAAAATTTATTATCCTCAAAATATAATCCAGATTTTGTATAAGAAAATTCTTGATCATGGGTAAGCAGATAACTTTAAAAGTAAAATAAGTAAATGAAAAAAAAAAATAGTTTAGCATCTTTTATTAGGGATCATAAATTTAAAAATCTTGTCTTGCACTTTCGAATCCATGACAAATATTTTCTTTTTCCTTTCTAGTAGATAGACTCTTGGGAGCCGAAAAATTACAAAAACAAAAAGAAAGAAACTAGGTAGGTACCTACTTTTATATAAGTACGAGTATTAAAAATAATAAATTTAAAGTGCACTTAAAAACAATATTCAGCTGGAATTTTCTGCTTTAATTTTTTCTTATTCATTTCAGTATTCATTCCTTATCTGAATATAAACTAACCATAAAGAAGCTTTTTATATTTTAGGTAGGTAGGTAAGTACTTAGACATATATTAACCTATATCCGCTTATACATATTAAATACTCAAAAAGCATTTGAAATTTAATTAGAGATTAGATTAAATTCAACTTTTAAAATTATATTATCAGACCAACATACATATGTATAATAATATGTGCAGGTAGATTCAATAGATTTTTTTAACCAAAACAAGTGAAGTTTAATACACACTAATAAGTAAAGTTTAATATTGTTATGTAGGTAGGTAATCTCTATTATTTAATATAATATAAAGCATTCTTACCTATAAATTTATTTATACAATTAAATTTTATGAAACTTGTTTTAAATTAATGTTTAATTTGTACGAGTACTTACTTGCATCTGGATGCCATCTTCAAACAGCATACCTCCATTATGCCCTTTTAGTTTAAAAAAAACTTCGTATTTAAAATTTTAATATATAATTGCTTATTGTTTAAGTTATTGCTAATATTTTATTAGAAAATTTTAATTAGTTTATTGCTTTGCTTAATTTTAAACAAAATTTTATTTGCATTCCAAAACAAAATAGTGGCTATAGTTAGGTATGTTTTATATTTTTTTTTATCGTGCTAACCTGTTTCACTTTACTAACGCCAGGTTCAATAAAAAAGTTGAGGTTAGAGTCAATATTTATGTAGATATAAATTTTTGCAAGTACAATGGAAAAACTTTATAGTTTTATAGATTTTACATATTTTTTACAATATTTGTGTTACTCAAAATAAAAATTAGTAAATTTTCGTTATCATCTTTGTGAAATTCTTTAAAAAAAAACTTTAATATTCGTACAATAAAATCCAAAAATCGTTCTAGTAAACTTTGTATTAAAGTGTGTATTCCCTAGAAGTTTATTTTCACTGCAGATTAAAATTCTTCATGAAACCAATAATAAAAAAAAATTCTAAATTCAAAAAATCTGCATTATTTAGAATCAGTTAGAATTAGCATATAGGCACATTTTTAAGGATACAAAAACAAATTACTTTAATTCTCTTTAATACATTTATTTACTCACAGTTCACACTTTCGAAAAAAAATGTCGCGTTACAATAATAAAATTTATGTGCATACATACATAAGTATGTAATTCAATATTTTAATTTTACTAGGTATTATTAGTACAAAAGTAATTATTAATTAAATTTTTATGTTACTTGTTGATTATTTTTTATTTATAAAGCCAGAAAACTATGTTTAGCATTTTATTTTCCAAAGCAACATAAAATCTAATTATGAATTTGTTTTTCTACAAATTTTACCGTAACCGTTCGTAAAAATACACCTTTTATGTCAAACGCTCGTATTCAACTGAATTTAAGTTCTAAATTCACTTTGTTTTGCCTTTTGCTACTGCGATAAAATCAAAAGTACCGTACCGTAAACAGCACAGCAAAGCAGAGAAAAAAGTTTATTGTTTTTTTTTTGTATTATTTTGTTCCCTTCTTTTAAAATTTCACTTAACAGAAAAGAAATGTTAATAAATAACATTAACAGAAACAAAATATGCACATATTTTTGTATGTTACTTTGTACAGTTTTATGGAATATCTGAAAAGCAAACATAAATGTAAAATCTCCAAGCTGGAGAAAAAATAAGAAAAAAGCTTTTATTAAATGTTTTTATTTGTGTGGTTTTTCATTTCTTACTTTGTTGCTCATTCGTAAACAAATATTGTTTGGAGAAGAGAGCGTTTGTTGGCAAAATTGAGCTTAATGCATTTTTAAAGCGAAATTCAAATATCAAGTGTCAGTTTTTAAATTGTGGTAACCATACCTGTAAAAAAATGCTAGTAAAAGATTTAGGTATCGTTTTTATACAAAAGAAAACATGAAATACAAGAGACAATCAAATTGATTTAATTTGACATGTTTTATTTGAATTTTCTACCGATGAAATATTAAAACTCATAAGCGATTGTACGACCAACACAACTAGTACAAATAAAACGTAATTTCGACCTCCAAGGTAAATACTTACATTATTGAATATATCATTGACATATGTAATAAAATTCAATCTATTTGCAACAGCCTTAAGGTTTGCATTTCTACAAAGTTCTTCAAAACACAATTTGAAATACAACCAATTTTCTCTAAACCAAATGGTCACCTTTAAGTAATGGCGTTTACTCTTTTTATTTTTACATACATTCACTTCTTTCTTTGTTTATTTTCCTGAGCTTTTATCTCAGTTGTCAGAATTTACCAAGCGATATTTACATTAATATATGTACACATTTTTTCCTGCAAAAAAGCTTAAAAGAAATTAGAACTCAAAGTGATTATAACAAAACTCGTTACCGGCTTTTTTTTTAACATCATAATGAAAATTACATTCAGGCTTTGGTAAAGGAGAACAAACTTCTATTCTTGTTTTCATTTAGTGCTATTCCACACACATACATATTATTATAAATTACTCAGCCCCGTTTCCTTCAAATTTGTTTTTAAATTGAATTATGTCATTTAAACTTCTTCATTCATAGTGAACATTTTCTATTGTTATGTAAATGCAATATCATATACTGTCATTTTAATACTGTTATCATATACTGTCACTAACAATAATTCAAGAAAACACGATAAGCGTCTATTTAAGTCAGAAACGAAATCCAAAAGTGCTAAATACTAATTTATTATTATAAAAACACAGTTTTTTAGAGGGAAAGATTTGACGTTGAACTATTCTAGATGAATTTAAAAATGGAAGCTCAACTTCTGAGTTCCCTAATGGCGTCAGATTTATTCACCTCACATCATCAGGAGAACATTTTTATGCAAAGTGGTATAAAGTTTGTATTCGTTTAGTTTAGACGCAGTATTGCCAAACATATTATCTCAAAAATCTTCAATTTTTTTAAAATAAAATCTTAATTTTGAAGATTATGTAAAAAAAATCTTGACGAACGGTTCAAGATTTTCAATGGAAGTTAAATTGAACAAATTGAATTGTGCATTTAATTATTGTGCTTAGTCGATTATTATAGAATTAATTACAGCGAGAACATTAAAAATTTTCTATCACGAAAGTAGGGTGTAGAATTTTCTATCACCATGCGTTGCCGATTAAATAGACTTTTTGTTCAAAGTGATTTTTTTTTGTGAACTTTGTAAAATATGGAAAAAGATACAAAAAATTCCAATTTTGAAAAACTTTGGTAGCATTAAAAAATCTTTATTAAAAAAAAAAAAATATTTTTGTATGTAAAATTTAAAAATTTTAAAAATCTTACTCTGAAGTTTTTCACAAAATATATAGCCAAAAAATCTTTATTTTGAAGATAAATCTTCGCATTTGGAGTAGATAAATCAACATGTTTAGAGGAGCAGTAGATATACTTGAATTTAAAGATAATAAAATGTATTAAAAGCTTTTTTATTGTGAACTCGTTGTCAATTTAAATGCTAACATTTTTTCTTAACAGATATCTGTTAGTTAACATTATGTTATTTTAAAAAATTTATTTAAAGCTCATGAAAATTATGCGACGTTTTGTCTGTAGAAAAGTGAAGATGCTGTGTCTGCAAACTCTAAATTTTTAACGGAGAAAATAAACAGGTAAAAGAAATCAAAGTTGTGTACTTTACTTACATTAGATACAAACATATACTATATACTACGTTAATTTGTATGCACATAGAAAATATTACACACTTCATAAGTGCTTTTAAAAATTATGTGAAAAAAAACAAAATAGTTACTCTAAAATATAGTCCGCAAAAACGAAATTTTCAAAAGCAGCCAACTGAAAATTCACAGAAATTAAAAATACTTATAGAATCTAATCTAATGGTTATCTAATGTAGTTTACTGTAAACATTTTATTTGTGAGTTGAAAATTCATGCATACATACATAGGTACATACCTTATTTCCGATAAGTTATACATATGGGTATACATAGTATAGTCATAATAAAATGTAGAATATGGATGCAAAAATTCGGTTGTTTTGAATTCTTAACAAAGACCGTAAATATGTGCAAGGTAAGAGGTATGTACATATGTATGTGGAGGACTTCATTATCATATGATTAATGCACAATTAAGTTTCGACCATGCAGAAAAATTTGAATTTAATTATAAAAAATTATTACTTTCGAGTTACATATATACATACATATAGCTATTTCGGAAGATCAAACAAGCTCAAAAATAAGTTTCATGTGAAGTATTACGATATTATTTTAAAATAAAATTTATTTCATAAAAATCATTCACATAATTTAACTTTTATTTTTATGCAATATAAAATAGTGTTATTATGATTAAATTTAAATTTATTATAACATTAGTGTTAGATTTTTGAAAAAAAAAATTGTCACGAGATTGTAAAATATTTTTCTTTTTCTTATAAAATTTTTTAAATTCCAATATATCTTAATGGTTAACAAATTTATTTTTATTGATTTTCAATTGATAAGACATTGTTGAAAGCAGTTCATACTATAAGTTAAAAGATGACCATAGTTTGTTATTCATAATAAAATTTATTAAGTTTATTTGAATTAAAAGAAATTTCCAAATTTCAACGTGGTCAATCTTTGTAATTCTTTATTATCATTGTTATATCACTATCATTAATTATTTAACAGTAAAATCAACAAAAATGTAAATGTATATGTATGTATAATTATTATTATTTATGTTTGGGCTGAATACATTATATATGCATATTTTTTGATAAATTTCTATAAAAAATTTGATTAAACATAATTTCGATATAAAACCTACATATGTAGATACGTACATCTTCTTCAAATATTAATAGTAAGAGAAAAGAGAGTAAAATTGCCATTGAGCCTAGTCTCATACCAAAAAGATTTGAACAGAAATTTTGAGCGGACAACAATCAAAATATTTCTGATCTAAAATCACTTACATACAAAAGGTAAATTATTTACTGCCTTGATTGCAATTTTACTATTGTCATTAATAATAGAAATTATTGCAGGAACGAAAATATTTCAGTTCTTTATAAATTCATTGTTACAATGAACTTCTACTATTTATACATAATATTATAATGTTATGTATCAAGATAGAAAATAAGTATATATATGTATATATTAATATAATGTACATTTATTAATTATTCGAGAATGAAATTTAGAAATCATATAAAAATTTACACTATTTTCATTTTCACTGAAAAAACGCATGTTATATTCATATTTTGAAAATGTACGCATACTCTTATAATGTACGAAATAATTATTCCCTTTATGTTATCCTTTTTAGTTTCTATAATATTATATACGAAATGTTCCAACACAAATAACATTTGGTTTGCTATTCAACAATAATAACATATTAATACTATTATTTACAGTTATCTGTCATACAAATTTATCCATATCTATATTGCACGTGAATATGATTTGGTTTGTTACTTTAAATTCTGCAATGAATTATCTATGTGTATGTGTATGTATTTTCACATATGACTTTATAAAATACGGGTATGTATAATATGTAGCTCCAGCGAGAAAAAGTTTGATTCTGCTTTCAAAATTTGGAAAGCATACATATGGCGATGTATACCAATTGTATACATACATGCACAAACATATGTTGAATATAGACATCATAAATGTATATGAATATTATTTATTATATTAAATCTTACGAAAGTGAAAGCTTAATATTTTTTGCACTACTCTATTGTATTCTATAACATTTCTACATAAAATATATACATACATATATATGTAACATTTTATATACAATTGTATTAAAATTTCATGTACCAATACATTTTTATTCAATGTATACATAATTTGTATTCCAAATGTAATTTGGTAGATATAAGATATTCAAAGCAGTTTTGCGGAAAAATCTGCTACAGATATTTTTGCTTAATTTTTTTTTTTGCTTTTCCAAATACAATTTACTATTTACATGCATATATACAAATGTACATACGAATCTATACATATAAATAGTAAATCTTTATTTTTTGGCTTTAGAAAAATATGGCAACAGACAATGTGAAATTGGATTATTTAATATACACATGTATATATACACATTATTTACGTGATCCTTTTCGAGAACAAACTTACAGTCATACTCATATATGTAATCCAATCGTAAACATATACCAAATTTCTATAAAATATTAACTACCTATAAAAAACAGACAACATTTCTGAAAAAGGATTAAATAAAATATTAAAAGTTAGAGTATTTAAATATGTGCACATACATACATACATACTTTTGATTTAAATTTCAAACCAGTATGCATACATGCTTTATACTTTTAATACATATGTATGTATGTAGGTATATGAATATGTAATACGGGTACATTATGAATATTGTCCCTTAACAAAATTTAACTTTTTTTATGCGTTTTTTATACAATATTGATTCTCCCACACTTTATAAAATGTATGTATGTAAGTACACTTTCAAAGGAAACAATTAAAAGTAAAAAAAAAAAAATCTTTGTTTTCACTGGCGTTCCCGTTATTAAAAATTTTTAAAATTATGTAGTAATTTTAGGTTTTTCTTTAAACTGCCGTACATATATAAAAATTGCACATTCATATGTATATATCGGTACACAAGTGTGTCAGTATTCTGTAATGTCAAAAAAAAAGTTTGTGAACAGCCTTCAAACAGCGAATTCAAATCGAAAATTAAATGCAATAACTGCATTTCGGAATCCAAATTTCGGTTTTTTGACGTTGAAAATTTCTCTTCAAATCGATATTATAAATAATATTACAAATATTATTAAATTTTTTTTTAAAATTTGCAGTACGTTGCCAATTTTTTACGCCAAAATTCAATGCAAAAAGTCAAATATCATAATTATGTCAATTTAAATACTATAATTAACACATCATACTGATAATATCTAAGGTCAAAATTTTACAAAAAACATCCCAACTTGTTTAGATGTACGATTTGTTTTTTTTGCATTTCGAAAACGCATTTTATACAATTCAGAAAGCATGGCAAAATATTTTTAAGATATAATACGGAACGTGAATATATACTCACATCAAAATTTGCTGTTTTGCTCTCAATAAAGAATATGGCCTACGTTAGAGTAAAATAAATTTTGAAATAGTATTAGCAACTCAAATTCTAATGATATGGGTCCGAATTCTTTTAATTAATTAATTTATTGCAAAATGTTCTGTTATAATTAAAAGAAGTAAGAATTAAGTGAGAAATAAATTTTTCATCGGGGTGTGCGAACATATTGCATACACTTAAGTTTTTAACAATAAAGCTTTTACTTTAAATATTTTGGTATAATTGTATACGATATTTTTAATAATAGTGCAAATTTTATTTAAACACAACATATTTGCTTTCATTACTGTTGGAATATGTCAGTCGTACATAGTTTATTACCTTATTATATCCTTCACGCTTCATACATCTATAATCTATATAAAATGTAAAACAATTGTTACACTTGTATTGTATGTATGAATATTTATAAAATATTGTCACCATATAGGTACGATACCATTCGTAAATATTCATTTTGTGCCTTCGTAAATTAGAAGTTCAGCTACATATTACAGTTATTATTTTATAATATGATATACATAATATGCAGTACATAAAAGTATATTATTTAGTTGACATTTTTTTTAAGGAATAGGTTTCATTACTTGTAACAAAGTATATGGATATGGAAACATAAAATTAAATTTTTTTTTGTAAAAAAAAATTACATTGGCACTGAAATTTAATAGCTTTTTGATTAGGTAAAAAATTTTATATATATTTATCCTATATATATGCATATTGATTTATTTAATAACATGTTTTTAGTCCGTTTATACACAATGGACATGTAAAAAACTGCACAATTAGAAATAAGGACTAAAAAAGTAACAATGAACTTCTCAAATATAAAATTTATTCGCGTTAATGTTATGCACATGTGCGTGTATTTTAAAATTAAAAAAAAACATTAGCACAAATGGTAATTCACAGACAATTACGGTATTAGAAGGGCTCTAAGTTGATAGAATTTGTGAATTCGACGAAAATGTGTGGCACCCTAAGTACATCACTCTTAAGGATATTGGATGAAATCTGTTATACTATTGTATAAGGATATATATATCTGTTATACAAGTGTTGTGTAGATTTATCAGTTACATTCTAACATAAATATTTATTGGTTTGCAAGCCTGCACTGATCATTTAAGAAAAATTGATAGACGGAATAAAGATACCAATATTTTTATTATTACAATAAAAATTATATCGAACCCTTCCCTCTCTATATCCCAAAATTGAGATTTAATAAAAATAGCATAAAAAAATTACACTTTTTTAATGGTGTACTCTTAACATAAAATAATATTAAAATTTATACAAGAACGTTTTCATTCGAATGCAATTTTAATTTTAAATATAATTACGATAAAATATTTTTCATTTCAATTTATAATAGCAAAAAAGTAATGAAGTAGTGATAATGAATAAATTCTGTCCAAATATGCAATTTCGTACAATGAATTTAATATTGAATAACATGCATTCGTTGGAGTTTGGATTAAAGGAAAACGATCTTCGAACAACTCCCGAGTTCTTTCACTCCACATTTCTACTAGCGTTAACTTTAAAACAGCATTTATTTGGATATCAGAATTTTATATTTCATTTTCTTCCTAAATCTTCGATCCTATTAAGATCTGGGTTAAAATTATTTGATTTCAACTAAGTAGTCTTCTTGTATTTGCTATATTGCAACTGCAATCATCTTATGAAACGACACAAGAATCGTTCTATCAGCACAAATTTGATTAACAGACGGAAGTAAACATTTGTTTAAAATATTTTTATGTTTTTAATTTTTTGAATATCTGGCTATACAATCTGACTATTTCAGTTTATGTTTTAGAACACTTTTATTTAGAGATTATTTACGATCTAGAATTTAGAGAATCGAAATTGCTTTCTTAAATACAATTAGAAAACTAGATTTCCGAAAATAATTATTAAATGGTAAATATTTTAATTTGAAGGTTTTATTTTCTCGTTCATTAGTGTTTTATATTCTTATTAAACTCTATATGAGAACCAACTAGATTAAGATGAAAATGTCCGGTCGTTTATGGTTTAAATACTCGCATCAAATATATTTTATATATGTATACATATTTAATAGGAATTGAATGGCTTTAATTGCTAAAGTATAACTTTATAAATTAAAATAGAAATGACTATAGAAGCTTGTAAAGCAAAAAGAAAATTTATATACTTTTCTTATATAATTATATACTATAAATACATAATTATATTTATGTAGGTAACATAAGTGATATACACCTATACATATATGTACATATATTGTATATGAATAATTTTTTAATTGTTCATAGTGAATTATAGGAAAATTTGATTCGTGTTCAAGTGCTCAATGAACAATTTTCTCATGTTGAACATGTCATAAAAATGTTAAGCCATTAACAAAGTTCATTGTGTTTTTTTTTTCTCTTTATCTACATACATATACAAACATACTCTTATTGTATAAAATTGCTTTGTATGCATAAGTGCATTAACATATATTTAATATCCAGATTGTGTACGAAAGCATTTTTGTTTTTTTTTTTAAATAACTCGTGTCCAATATTACTTTTTTAAAATATTTTACTTTGAATTTTCTTTTGAAATATCAAAAAGAAATAGCTATATATGTATATAAAATATCCTTAAGTCAATGAACTTCAAACAATTCAAATCGATTTGTATGCATGTATATATATGCATGTATATATCATACATAATATAGAATGATTTTCGCATATTCTGTCCTTAAAAAAGGATACAATAATTTTATGTTGGAAATTTAATGAAATGCATCGTAATATAGTATATAAGGTCAATACTTTAGTATAGTGCACGTATATACTTGCAAGCTAATTTAATGCTATGCTTTGAAAGGAACAATGTGCGATTAAAAATTTTTATAAAAATATTTTAGTATGTTATTGTTTAAGTATATTTCAGTATATATGTATGTATGTATATAGTTTGTGAATAATAATTCTGTGCATAATGGCAATTAAAGTAAATCATTAATAGATAATTACTCGTTCGATGTTTTAATGAAACAAAATTAATATGTTATGGTTAAAATTATACAAAGAAATTATGCGGATTACTAATCACAAAATTTAAGTTTTTATTGAAATAACTGTACATCAGATCAGATTTGGTATCAGATCATATAAAATCAATTTTGTTATTTTGTAAAATTGCTTATTATAATAACAAATACAAAGGAAAATTGTGTACTATTTCAGAATTTCTGAAATTCTGATTTTTTTTATTTGACAAAAAAAAAATTCTAACGTTTTAACATCCGTTCCGGACTCAACAAATGAAATCTTAAATTTGTTAACGTTGCATTAATTTGGTTTCATATAATTTTTCAAATATTTTAAAAAAAACGTAATTAAGATTACGCGCTAATGATTATATAACTGATAGGCAATTCTAATGTATGTATGTATAAATAGTTTACAATTCATATATACACAATATGTACTTATTAATGAAAAATATACATAACATATACATATATTTCCCAATATAATAATATATATAGAAATTTAGTTATACATACATATATATATATGTTTGTAAATTCAACATATTTCTATATTATAACTATATATACATAATCTTAATAGCGGCAATAGATTTGGAGTATTTTTCAAATATAATTCTGAATATACTTCTATATTTCTTGTTACATATGTATACATATATGTAATTAAAAATTTTTATATTCAAATAATATTTAAAATGATGCTCAAAAACCAAAATGTTTATTTTATGATTTCTGAAGAAATGCTAAAATTATTTTAACCATGATCGTATATTCGAAGGGTATTATAAATTTACCATACTGTTTTTAACACTAAGAAATAATGGTCTGAGATATTGCCATAAGATAAGAACATATTTTTGCCAGAACACCATTTAATTACACAATGTAATCGAAGCAGTGGTTTGGATACATGTTACACAACTTCAATGTGACTATATCGCGAAAAGTATATTATTAAAGCTGTTGTACTGAAATTTCGTGCAAACTTATATAGTAATAGGGTTATTATAATTGATAAAAGTCATTAAAATTGCATGGATACTTCTGGTAGCTGCCATATAACTTTAAATCTTATTTGGTCATATCTTGATAACTATTTGATCTACGTGCGACTGACTTTTTAGGTATTTCCTATATGAATTTTGGCTATTATATTTTTGTTAGAAAATTCATTGAAATTATATGAGTTTATGCGATATAGTTGTCATATATCTTCAAAATTATGCAATAATTTTAAGCAAATATTCAAACTATAGGCCAAAATTGAGTACAAATACAAAAATAATATAATTCATATTAAAAACCACGTTTTAAATTTTCCGAAACTTCTGTACGCATTATTTCAAGTTACAATTTTTTTATAAGAGACTGGCGACGTGTTGTCAAAGTTCTGTTCCTTTTTTTATTTATGTAATTATTCTTAACTTGAGCGAAACATCCAATTCACAACGCACTGTATTTGTTTCAAAACCTAGTTGAATTTAACTGAGAAAGCAAGAACTAAAATTGATTTTGTTTTTTTTTTAATTTATTATTCTTACATACACTTGTACATGCATAAATATAAACAACATATCGAATATTATGAAAAGACTATGTAAAAATTAATAATTAAAATCTTAACATAAACTATTTGGTATCAAGAATAAACAGTTTAAAAAATAAGTAAAAACGTTTCAGTCGGTATAGACCGACAGAATTATACTAAGCACCTATCATTGTTGTGTTGCAATTGCTAGAAACTGCGAAACCATTCTACAGAAATTTCACGAATATGTCTGACCTTTAATTGGACACACGACTGCCAAGTTTCATGAATCTGGCTTTAATATTTTTCCAAATAATTAAAATTAGCTTTTGCACATGTATGGCAGCTACTTGAACCTGTCAAGCTATACAACCAAACTTCAGGAATATATCTGACCTGTAATTGTACACACGACTGCCAAATTTTATAAGTCTGACTTTATTATTTATTTAGCTATTTAAAATTTGCTTTTGGAGTTGTATGGCAACTACCCGAACCCTTTGTCCAAATTGGTCTAATTACAATAGGGTTCACAGCAAACTTGTGAAAGTTTGGTGTTGATTGCATTATTCGTTTTTGAGTTATCGTGCGCTCGGACAGACGGACGGACATGACTAAATCAACGCAGGATTTTATGATTGATCAAAGTGAATATACCCTTCGCGGTATAAAAATTATTTCACATCATTCTGAATTTGGAATGAATCATCAGCAAGCAAATTATCCTCGCCCAACAATTTTAAAAAGAAAGTTAACAAAATTAGTGTTAATGTTTTAGTCGCTAAAAGCGGTCGATTTTATTTTTCTCGTTCCCACATACATACGATATAATTTTTTTTTTTGAAAATGTATATTAACGGATTAATTAATTTTTTCATTCAAATTGGTATTGTTATTACGCAAATTAATCAAAATGCATTAAATTTTATATCGGATGAAGATAAATTTGATTGGAGAGATTATGGAGCTGTTAACATTGTCAAAAATAGAGGTGCTATTTATTTATTGATTTATAATTTTGAATAAGAAGGATTTTTAAAAATCTCTGTTAAATATTTTTTTTTTTTATTTCATTGCACATATTAGAATTTTGCCGTTCAGATTGGGCATTTGTTGCAACTGGTGTATTAGAAAGTCAAGTTTATATTAAAACTGGACGATCTGTATCATTATCGGAACAAAATTTAATTGATTGCAGTTATATATATGGTAATAATGGATGCTCTGGTGGTCATTTAACCTATTCTTTTGAATATATTTTTAAAAATGATGGTATAAATTATGAATTAAATTATCCATATGAAGGTGAAGAACGTTTTTGGTGTAGATTTAATTCATCATTACCCAAAATCACAATAAATGATTGGAAAGTATTTTATTTAAATGGTAATGAAGATCATTTAAAAAAATTATTAAAATCAATTGGACCGCTTGGAATAGCGATCAATTTACAAAATAGTTTTTATAAATATAAAAATGGTATTTATTATGAACCAAATTGTACAAATTTTATTGATTATTATGTGCTACTTGTGGGCTATGGTACAGATAAAAATTTATCTGAAGATTATTGGATTATAAAAAATTCTATGGGTACAGATTGGGGTGAAAATGGTTATATGCGATTAGCTAGAAATAAAAATAATCATTGTGGTGTTGCCAATTATGTTTCTTTTGTAATTATGTAAGATTTATTTTGTAAATTTATAAATAAATTTTTGAAAAATTTTTAATTTTTTTTCATACATGTAAGTGGTATTGTACCTTTTGTCAAAATTATTTAAAAGTGATTAATACTCGTACATTAGGGTGAAAATTCACAAAAATATTTTAACAGGCTCTAAGTATGAGTGTGCTAGTTTCGGAAAAATTTTCGTCACAATATATTTAAATAAGAAACTTGTTAATTTATTATTTTAACTACTTAAATAATTCATACTTCTTTCCAAACCCTAATATGTAATTGTTTGCATAGCAGATCCGAGGTTTTGTTCTACAAAACGACATTTCAATTTCAAATCATTAAAAATTTAAAATTTTCTAACATTGTATGACAGTTTTAAAATTTCAAAATTTTTATTTATTATTTTAATAAATATTATTTTTTTAGTAATAAATTATTTTAGACAAAATTCTTATAAAATTCGATTACATATATTATATGGATGAAGATTGGACTACAATAAAACCTATTTATAGGAAAGAAGTAAAAATTCATGACTGGCAAAATAATTACTTAAGTTATCCAATGGATAATGAATTTCCAACGAATGTAAATTAAAATTACAATAATAAAATTATTATGTGTGTATGTATATACTATACATGAGTATGTGTAAATATATGTGTATGTGTGAAAATATCCAAGCCAAAATTTTTATATAAGATAGCAATTAAATGAATTATACGTACATATAATAAATTTGTATCTTTAAATTTAGTTAGCAGAATCACATTACAAATTTTTGGGTCAAACTAATGATTTTTTTATGCAAAAATCTACGATAAATGAAAAATTGGAGAATGGAAACAAGCATGATGGTCATATTATGAGGACACGAAACAGGTTCAAATTTAATTTTTGTTCTGTGAATTTTAGTAAAATATATTTATGAAATTTGGATAAAATGCCATATTTGTTATACTGTATATCAAAGCAGATCTAGAAATATTTATGATTTCAAAAGATATAAGAGTTTGAATGTATGGCCAGCAGTTTAAAAAATAGTCATTTTTAAAAATGATATATTAAATTTAAAATTTTATTAAATATAATTAATATATTAATATAATATAAATAAATATATTAATTTTATTAAATATAAAGAGCCCTAAAGAAATACTTAAGATTATTTATGAAGCTACAATTATAATTTAAATATATATTTTAAATTTTAGTAAAACAGAAGTATTTAAGCAAGATAATTTTATAACAACGTACAATTCAAGCTATCATAAACCATTTAAATCGAATGATGAATGTCAGAATAAAGAAATTCATTGTTTAATGAATCGAATTCCAATTAGTAATATTGATGCATCATTACGTACTTCCAAAAAATTTCTAGATGATCATTTATTTCAAAAGGATGAAAGTCAATTATGTAATGAGTACTTGAAGCAAATTAGGTATTAAACAATATAATGAAAATTTTTTAATTGTCTAAAGTACGTCTTTCAATAGAAATTATTCGAAATTGAACTTAGAGTGGAATTAGAGAAATGGGAATTACTTATATATAAATAAAATTTCAATTAAATAAAATTCAATTTTGAATAAATTTTCTTGTATGGTTATGAAAAAATTAAATATAATAATTTTGATTTATAAAACTAGAATTAAATGCAGTTGTTCAACTAGAAAATAAGGTTTTATATGCGACGCCCAAAAATATGCAAATCATAGAATTTGAAGATCAGAAAAGCAAAATTTCCTCAACAGCATAAGAATATTTAAATACAAAATATATGGAGACAAATTCCTTTTATATTTAAATTTTATTCCCATAAAATTTTTTCATACTGCTTAAAACCCGATGATAAAAGATAAAACCTTGATGATGAAAGGAAAATGGTGCAGTACAAGGTATTAAAATCAAATTTTCGGTAGTCGATTTCATATTTAAATTGCCAACTCTAATATCAGTCTATAATTCCAATTCTATTTATCAGTTTTCTATATATCAGTTTATTAACTTGATAATAATTGAATTATTTTATTAAATAGACTAAAATTTATTAGACTAAAATAGGAAGTTTTACAAATTTTACATAATCAACTACAAATTTTTAAAATTCATTAATAAATTTCTATAGTTAAAATTCAATTGGTCTTGGAACGTAATATTCATTAAATCTTCCTACATAATTTCCTGGTGGATTATATAAGCATACAACATATAAACTGTCACCTCTATTTTTTTTGAAAATAAAAATTAAAAAATTTCTTGACAATAATTTTATATTTCACAAAGATTACCTTCTAGAAATTCCAGTTCCCAATTCAATAGAATCTTTCCATATTAATTGTGTAAAATGACCCGTTTCAGAACTAAAATTTGGATTACTGAAATCATAAAATTTCATTTCATCATACCAACTTTGTACAGCCATTGTTACATGTCCATATTTATCACTTGTCCAATATAAATTTTCACCATATTTACTATTTGGACGATGATAAAGTTTATTAATTTCAGCTAAATGCTATAAAAAAAATTCCACAAGCAATAAAAATAAATTTTATAATAAAAAAATTCTCTAATTTTGTATACTTTTGCCCATTCCTCGGCAAGTTTATCTAATTCAGGATTTTGTACTAGTGGAGGACAATTATGTAAACTTCTAAATCGATTATGAGCTGTTAAAGAACTCTGTCTTAATTCTTTAGGGTACATTTCTAATGGTTTGTGTAATCTATCTGTAACTGGTCTAGGTATTAAATATTCATTATACATATGATTTGGTAATCTTGATGGACTATAAACACATAATATCCAAATTTCTTCATCACTGCATACGAATAAAATTAGAGTTATTTTTAATTTTAGTTATTTAAAAAAATGAATTTTACATTCTTCTCATAGCAGTTCCTAATAGTAAAGTATCACGCCAAATTAATTGAATAAAGCCACCAGAATCATTTTCTTCTTGTTCATTGTAATCATAAGTTAATGCACCTTCATCATACCAACTTTGTATAGCATTTGTAACATGCATAAATGCAATATTTGATGTTGTAGAACTTACAGCCATATCTTGATTTTTACGAAATTTTGGAACTTTTCCAGTTCTCTCGACATGCTAAAATTTGAAAGGATAATATTTAATCATTAAATCTTCTTACATAATTATGCACTTACTTCTAACATTCTCTCAGCAATTGTATCAAGTTCATTGGATTTTTGTAATGGAGGGCAACCATGTAATGCACGAAGGCGATTATGTGTAATTAATGAACTTTCACGAATATTTTCAATATAATGTTCAATCATATCATTTGTAAGTTGTTCCTCAGCTGTTAATTGTGGCACTGTATAATCATTAAATTCTCCACTGTAATTTCCAGGTGGATTATAGTTGCAAACCACAATCATGTCGGAACCTCTAAAATAGTTAAATTTAGTTTATTCAATTTTATTGTTCTGAATGTGTAAAACTATAAATAATTTTGCAAAGTATCGATAACAAAATCTCGAATAAATTTAATATTGAAAACTGCACATACGGTTTTGAAAAAATTTAAATACTAAAGAATTAATTAACATGATTGTGACGGATTTTAGTTTTTCGACACTCACAACTTCTTTCGATACTTTTAAAACTTCATGTATTCTTACCGTACAACAACAGCTGTACCTAATTCAATAGTATCTCTCCATATTAGTTGTGTGAAATGTCCAGTGTCTTTTGAAAAATCGGGATTATTAAAATCATATGATTTTACTTCATCATACCATGTATATACAGCCATCGTAACGTGTGCATTACGACTATTTGTCCAATATAAATTCTCTCCATATTTATTATTTGGACGATGTAATAATTTACAATTATTTTTAATTAAATTCTAAAATGAAATAAGGCTAAAATAAAAATTTTATTTTTTATAATTTTTAAAAATTTACGTGAGCCCAATCTTCAGCAAGTTGATTTAATACTTTACTTTGTTTTAATGGTGGACAACCATGTTGTGCTCTTAATCGATTATGTAATTCTAAACAACTTAAACGAATATTTTCAATGTTTGATGGCACTACTGGTTTAGAATTCTCCTCTGATTTTGATGAATCAATAATTGCATCAACTTCATCTGGAACATGTGTTTTTGAAGTTGATTGTAATTTTGTATTGAAATTTTCAAAAAATTTATCAAGTGATTTTTCTATCATTAATTTACGACGTTCATCAAAATTTGGTTCTTTTTCTAGAGGTGGTGTTATTTCACCATTTTCACTTTTATTTATTTCATCAATTTTAAAACCATCATTTTGAATTCCACATTTTTCACAGCTTGTTGAATTCTCTATTTTCGTTTTTATCTCTTTGCCATTCTCAACAGTTGTAATTATTTGACAGGTACCTAAAATTTAATAATAATAAGAATTTAATTTGGAAACTTGTAATAATTAAGTTACTTAATTGGATTTAATTGAATTCCGGGAGGTTTTTCTTATATAATTTTAATTTGCCTTAAGTAATTATATAAGTTTTATGAAATAAATATCCTACATGCACAATATGTGCTAAAATGAGTTTGAATATCATTGCTTTATAGATCATCGATATTTATAAACCAAAAGGGCATTAAAAAAACTATTGAATTTAATTCTTAAAATATCCAACAGTACTAGGTGTTTAATTGTAATATTCAAAAAGAAAACTAATTCTTTAGAATTAATTTTTGATTTATTTGTGCTATACGTAGCTAATCACTTCAAAATTCAAGTCCAGAATTCGATAAATTTTCCAGTTTTATATTCTAATTGATATTTTTTCATTCATATAGTTCTGTGTTATTTCAAGTCCCCGTTTTATTTTATAAAGAACACTTAATTATAAAAACAATATACAGACCTGAACTGCATATCAGTAACTCTTCAATTATTGTGAATATTTCATTATAATTACATGTGATAATTCAATTAATTTAAAATAAAAGAAAACATTATAAATAGAAAAATTCAAAATAATTACTTACAATCATTTTCTTCACTATAAGTGTTGACAGAACACTCAATATTAACAATATTTATTTTTTTTATTGAACTAGTATTTGTGTTAACGTCATCATTATTTATTTGTTTGTTTCGAATTTTTTGATTAATTATTGTATTTGATTTATTATCAATGGAGCCACTGTCAATTTCATCAACATATGCAAAATTATCACATCCAGCATACAATTTATCTAAATAATTTATTTCCGGTGATTCATTAATAACTGTTTTATTTGTGTTATTATTATATTTTATTTCTGTACAATCTAGAGTACGTTCTAAATTTTTAATCATTTGTTCTTTAACTTTCGATTCATAATTGTTTTTATCTTCGTTTGTTTCAATTTTTGAAGTTGATTTTGGCTGTTCACTAATAATTGTTGTTGTCGTCGTATCTGGTCGATTTATGAAAATTGGATTTTCATTTTTAGGTTCTGTTGGATGAACATTAACAGTTATTCCATTCGATGTTGAAGATAAACGTAATCGATTTGATTTTATTGCATTCGATGGTCTTGATTCTAATTTTAAATTTTTATTTTTTGCTTGACAGCAACAACAAAAGCTACTAAAATTTATTAAAGATTAAAAAATGTGACCATATGTTCCATAACGCGCAGTAATACAATATTTAAATTTAATTTAGAAATTTATGTTTAAGCCCAATTCAAGTCTCATTAAATTTCGAGGCTGAATTATATTTAAAAATTATATTACTGTGCTACAAAATGGAACTCGGAGATGCTAAGAATAATTTACCTTAAATTCATATTTTAAAACTTGGCAGTTTTGTTCAATTAATTAAATTTAAAAATAAGAAAAAAAATCGTCTAATAAATCCGAATGTAAAATAATAACTGGTATGTTTGATTAATTAATAACGGTAGATTTTAAAATGAAAAAAAAATTAATGTTATCTCGCCAAACTATTGATAAGATTAATAATTTTTGTTTATTTTTTTTTTAATTACTAGATAAGATTCTATATAGATTTTAAAGTAAATTTTTTGATTAAACCAAATTTTAGTTTTGTTGCAAAAAAAAAAAATTTTTTTTTTTTTTTTTTAAATTTAAATAAGACTTTTATACAATAGATAACTTTTATATAGTATAATTAAATTATGCGAGTATAATGTAGTACACGCCTAATGAAAATAAATATTTATATACGTACAGTATATGCAAACATATGTGTAATAAAGATGCACCTTTATTTGCTCCTCGTAATTTTTGGCAATTCAAGGTCGAGCTGTACTAATAAAACGAGTATATAAGCGCAGAATACATAAATAGAAGTTTCATGTGCGCTATCATGTATTTTTCTTTACTGAAGGAAATTAAAAGGTAATATTTATAATGTATGTGCAAAAAGTTTGCAATTTATGATATCAATTACTCAGAATACCGCTGGATTAGTAGTAAGTGATTAATTCATTTGAAACAAAATGTGCCTGAAAATAATTAAGAAATAAAATTTTCAATTTAAATAATATTTATTATATAAAATAAATTTAATAATATTCTTAATTAATAATATATTCAATTAAACTTTATATTTACATAATCATAATTGTAAAATTTTAACATTTTTGAAAAATATCAAATATAAAATTTATATTCTTAATGATGATGGAAACGTTTCAATCTTCTTGGAACATAATAATCATTAAATCGATCTTTGTAATTTCCTGGAGGATCGTATACGCATACAACATACAAACGACCGTGCCTATATACAAATGAAAAATATAAAATTTTTCATATAAATAAATTTTAAATTAATCTTACCCTCTAGCAATACCAGTTCCCAACTCAAGACAATCTTTCCATATTAATTGTGTAAAATGACCAGTTGCTTTACTAAATCCTGGTGCTTCATAATCATATAAATTTATTTCATCATACCAATCTTGTACAGCTAATGTTACATGTCCATATTTATCACTTGTCCAATATAAATTTTCACCATATTTATTATTTGGACGATGATAAAATTGTTTAGTCATTGCTAAATGCTATATTAAAAATTATTATAAAAAAATTTAAATTATAATTATTATTTAAAAAAAAAAAATAAAAACCTGTGCCCATTCTTCTGCACATTTATCCAATTTCGGATTACTTATTAATGGTGGACAGCCATGTAAATGTCTTAAAATATTATGTGCTTTTAAACTACTCCATCTCATTTCATCTGGATAATCATCGAGTGGTAAATATAATTTATCCGTTATTGGTCTTGGTATTAAATAATCTTTATACATATGATTTTCGATCATAGCCGGACTATAAACGCATATAAATCGAATATCGTTTCCACTACAATAGAAATTAAAGAAAAAAATAGTTTTTCTTAAACATTTGTACATAGAAATCATTTCTAATAATATATAGAGACTTACATTCTTCGAACAGCTGTTCCTAAATAAATTGAATCACGCCATATCATTGCAGTAAAACATCTATATATACGATTCGTATTCTCTTTACCATCATAATTATATTCTTTAAAACCTAAATCATACCAAAACAATACAGCTCCATTAATATGATAAAATGGTTGACTTGATTCTAAACTATTTTCTAAATAATTTTCGGATGATGATTTAGGTGGTAGTTTTCCATTATTTGCTTCTATATACTATATATATATTAAGAACAAAAATATTTAATTTAAAATTTAATTACTAATAATTAAATTTAATTAGTAATAATGCATATTAATCAAAAAATATTACATCTATTTTCTCTTCGGCTATTTCATCTAATTCAATTGATCTTCTTAAAGGAGGACATCCATGTAATGTACGAAGACGATTATGAATTCTTAATGAACTCTCACGAATCTCTTCTATTTGTTGTTTAATCATAGTATTGGTAAGACGATCTTCATTTACTAATGGCGGTATCATGTAATTATTAAATTGATCTCTGTAATTTCCTGGTGGATAATAGAAGCATACAACAATCATTTTATCGCCGCTGTTGTAAACCGAAAAAATTAAAAGAAAATAATAATATTATTTTTTTATTTAGTGTAAAACACAAAGAATATGAAAATATTAAAAATGTGAGAACCAATTTTTAACTAAGAATTTCGAATTCTAAATTTGGAACAAAACTCTTTAAGAAATTATTATTTTTCCTGGTGGTCTGACCAATTATATTGAAAGTAAATCTATATAATTTTGTCAATAATATTTTAAAAATTTCTTACACTTTTGCAACACCTGTTCCTAATTGAACAGTATCTTTCCATATAAGTTGACAAAAATTACCAGCCCTTTGTGACATTTCTGTTGGATCCGGATTACTAAAATTGTAATTTTTAATTTCATCATACCAATATTGTACAGCCATTGTAACATGAGCATTAAATGATGTAATACTATATATATTTTGTCCATAATCTTCTGTACTAGTATCGTTCTCCAATTTATTATTTTTCATTAAATACTAAAAAAAATTTGAAAAAAAAAATATTTAAAAATAAAAGAATTTAAACTTTTACTGCGGCTCTTAACTTACATTAGCCCAATCTTCGGCAAGTTTATTTAATTTATCGTTTTCTTTTAATGGTGGACAACCATGTTTATAACGAAATCTATTATGAAGTTCTAAGCAACTTAAGCGAATATTTTTTATATTATCAACAGTTGCAGCATAAGAGGGAATGTTATTTATTGGTGGTTTAATATCAACTTTTTGATTTTTCTGTACAAAATCTGATGTTTGGACATTTTTGTTCTTTGATTTATTAAATTCTTCTATTTTATCACCGAATGCTTGTAAGAACAGTCTTTGGAATTCTTTTTCTAAGCTTCCTTGTCTTTTTAAATTGTGTTTTTCTAATTCTTCAAATTTTTTTAAAGTTTGTTGTTCCAAACTTTCAGCTTCTTTTAAAACTTCGTATTCCTTTCTATTGTTATCAATTTGATCTTGATTATTCGTATTTTTGAAAATATTTTCATATTTCTGACGTTTTTCTAAAATAGGTTTAGGCGGTTCTTCTATTTCTTCGTCATCGCTAATTTCATTTAGTTCGAAGCCCTCATTTTCAATACCACCATTTATTGTTATTCCTCCTCGTTGAATATTTAAATTTATATGTTGGCCGGAAGAACCATTCGAATTGTGTAATTGAATAAGTTTTTTAACTTCTCGACCATTTTCATAAGTTATTATTTCAATTTTACAGCCACCTATTGATATTGTAAAAGATTAGTAAAACTTTGATAAAAAAAATTATAGCGAAATTTAAAAAATAAATTTTAAATTCAACTTACTTAAATTTTGTTGAAATGAAAATAACAACAAAGTTGAAATACAAAAGTTAAAGTTGAACTATATTTTGAAACTATAACGGATTACAACTTACCTGAAGTATTCCCTACTCTACTATTATTAATAGTAATATTTCTTGATACATTAAGAATACTTTCATTGTTTATTGAACTAAAATAAGTATTGTTCTTTGTTGGCTGTTCTACGTTAGTTTGTTGTATGATTGACTGTTGTTCGAACGGTTGTTGTATGACTGCATGTTGTTCGATTGGTTGCGGAATAATTGGTTGCTGAATAATCGGCTGTTGTGTGATTGGTTGCTGTGTAATTGGTTCTTGTATGATCGGCTGTTGTATGATCGGTTGTTCTGTGATCGGTTGTTGTTTAATTGGTTCTTGTATGATCGGCTGTTGTATGATCGATTTGTCATGAGATAAATTTGAGTCTGGTTTAATAACAAATATTGGTTTATTTCTATCATTTGGATCAACAAAAATATCTGGTCTAGTAATATTAGTTGCTCTTGGTGATTTATTGTTTATATCAGAATTTCTTCTTGAATCTGGTAATTGTGATTCAAGATTTTCATCTTTAGATTTGCAACAGCAACAAATACCGCTACAAAAAAAAAACAAAAACATAATAATTTAAAATATAATTTAAAATTTTCATGAAATTTAATTATCTCGTACCGATAAACTTTATTGGAATAAAATATTATTATTAATACATACATACATATGTACGTACATATATCGAAATTTTTTTAATATGTACGTACATATATTATAAACTTTAAGATTATTAAAACAAAAAAAAAATAACAAATTCATTAGAATTTTTGATAACATAATCAATTCTTAAGTATTTTGTGTTTAAAACGCTTTTATGTAAAAAATCAATTAATAGAATTACTTTTTTATAATACCTTATGTTATTTTATAATACTATATGAAATGTAATGTAGGGTAAATTGTATATGGCAGCCATTCGAACCATTGTTTCTATTGGATTCCAAATTGAATAAGATAAGCTTTTGTATATTTGTGAAATTTTTATTTAATCCGTTTTTGAATTACCAGTCACTGAAAAGGACGGGCCGGTGAAGACATTGACCAAAACTATACATATGTATATATAATATACACATGTACATTTCTACATTTCAGACCTCCAGCTATTTATTATTTAGAATTATTATTTATTTTTTTTTGTTGTTATTTTATAGCAATTTATGGCCATCTTATAAATATTTTTTCAAATTTTTTTTTAAATTTTTAAAAATTAAAGTTGAAATTAAAGTAAGAAGTTATAAATGATTGCTAATAAAATTTTATCTTTAGTTTATTACGTTTATAGCAATAGCAGCAAAGATAATTAAATTATTTAACTAATAATATTTTAATTTAATACTTTCGACGTATTCGAATTAAAAATTTATAATTTTTTTTTATATTATTTGATTTTATATTAATTTTTATTAAAGTCACTTGATTTTGTTATTTTATTTAAGAAAAAACAATTATTCGAAAATTTTTCACTTTTTATCAAAATAAATTTATATAAAATATTTGTAAATCAATTAAAATTTAATATGAATTCTTTTAAATTTACTCCCGTTTTTTGGACGTAGTCCTCCCGCCACTATAAATCAATTAAAATCAAAACTTATTTAAAGTACTTAAAAATTCACATAACTCATTTGTCCTTTTCACCCCCCAATTGAGAGCATAGAACTGATGCATGACATCATAAAAAAGTCTGATACATAATACAGTTGTAGAACACATAATTATCTTCCATAAATTCTATATGTACATTTACAGTCGTATGCAATTCAAACACACTTATATAATTATAGAACAATATTAAGGCTACATAATAATTATAAAATTTTTCTTAATTTTAAATCACAATAAATAATTAAGAAACTTACCATAAATTCATTTTTATATAAAAATTTTTAATTAATATTATTTAAAATTTAAATTATTATTAAAATTATTAATATTAAATTAAAAAGAAATTAAGAGAACCAATTTAACCGCAAGCTCATATCGTTACTAATAAAATTATTTTCTATTCTGTTAATGAATAAACACGATACATGGAATATTGTGTTATAGGTGCTATAACAAAAGCTAAATAATGTTATCATTAAATTATTTTATTGATTATTTCCTTATAATATTATAGATAAGGATTTTATTTTACAGGTATTCCTGGTATTTCACCATTTGATAATTAATATATTATGAAAAAATAGAAAATATTCATTGATAATTTTAAAATAAATAATTAAATACACACATACTTATATATTAATATCTAAATTTGTAAGAATTAAAATTATAATATGAATCAAAGAGTACAAGTTAAGGAATTATACAGTAATCTCTCCTATATAACGTATATTTTGTGATCGAAAATTTTCTACATTAAGTGATAATTACGTTAAAAGTCGTTTGAAAAAAAAACCCTACAATTAAATAAAAAAGTAGCATTTTACCATGTAAGTGAGATGTTTCATAATATAAAATAAGTTTGAATAGCAAAGAATTGAATGACTATACATGAGTATATATATCAAAACTAACTTATAAGGCTATATCAATTAGAGATGCCATATATGATATTCTCTGAGTCTTTAGCAAATGTAATGGCAACTCGGTTGTTAAGTTGAACATTTGCATAACAGAACCGAGACACCATTTTGAACGATTGTTGTATATTTTTCTAAGTCATTGAAGAAAAAAATTTGGCAAAAAATAGCATTTACAATACTCATTTTTTCTCAATAACTCCTAAACTATATCAGATAGCGTAATGACTCATATACCAAATTGAAATTCAGTTGACATTGTTGCCATTTGTACTAAAGTTGGGGAAAGCTCCAATGTTACGTCACCTAGAAAATTAAAATTTTTTAAAAATGAAAAATTAAAATTTCAAATTTTTCGAATTTTGAAGTCATGTGAATCCGAAATTTGAACAGATTACAACTAATGTAGATATTCATAAGAAAGCCTTTACTCTGAGGTTTCCAAATTGTATTTATTAGTGCGCCTGCCTTACACTTAAAATTTCGACTTTTAATTAAAAACTAAACTTGACATTTCAAAAAGTAAAAAAAATCGAAACCGAACCTGAACATCGTCTCTATACACAAGTTTTGTCCACTCGGGAGGGTCTATGAAATGGCATATAGCAGTGCACTTTATTATGAGACATCCCGTACATTATACATATTACATAATCTTGTCGGTACATTCGTTCTTTTAGATAAAAAACGATCCTCTATAAATCTTGGTATAGATATGTTATTTTTCTCGTAAATGTTTTTATATTCTGTGACACAATACCAGACATAAGCATCAAAAAAAAAATATGAAAAGACAAAGCTATGTTAAGTGAGGAAGCAGTATGAAAAAATAAAAATAATTTAAGTGAAATATCATAGTTGTGGAAACGTTATAGCGGGAGGATTACCTATAATACGGATCCGCAGGCAATTATTATACTACTTGTAAATGAAAGGGAACATGATACATTGTAAGTTTTACCTTTTCACGGCGTTTTTGAAGTCAAGGAATTTGATCAAATTAATATCTAAATCTTAGAAGGATTTACAAATTATTAATTTACTTTATCATCTGACCATTGATGGTTATGGCACCGATCCTTTCTCATGTTCAAACCCCGGTCAGGTCAAAATTATATTCAATATTAAAAACTAAGAAAAATAAACAATAAATATTAATAACCTTAAATAATTAATTTAAAAAGAAAAAAAAACTACGGCAGGCTAGTTTACTACCTACCTAGTTAAAACTTTATAACACAATGAAACTAAGGCATGGCAATGATATCATGCACTAGCTCTATGCTCCTCCTAGGAATGAAGGAGGAAAAACAAAATTACTTGGATTAATATTAAAAATTCCCCAATAAAATTATTTTTATATGCACGCGCAATCAATAATTATGTTTCCAAGGATTTGGCTCATATACATACATGAATGTTCGAAATAAGTATTTGAAAGAAGACCTTTTCAGGTATGAGAGTCTTGGAAACATATGCTACTCCGTATCACAACAATCCATATAGGATCTTTTATGTTTCTTCCCATAAGTTTAATCATGACCTATAACAACTCCTCATTGTAATTTAAACACAAATATATTAGATTTTAAAGTCTAAGAATGCAACTACATCATACCATCTTACTCAAATTTATATATTTCGTATAACGTTAAAAAAAAGTATAAAATTATAACAAAATTAAAAAAAAAAAAATTGATGTTGGCACAAATACAAAAGCGTTTCAAACTGTTTTGTGGATATTAAATTACAATTGCATATGTTTAGGCTGGTCAAAAGCAATATTCACGTATTTTACTTTATAAATTAATGAAATACAATGGTAAGCAAAATTTTTGGTTAGATTTTAAGGTTGATATTGTGCTCTAAGCACCGATTAATTAAAATTATTAAGCGTTTAAATATTATTTAACAGCTTAGACAAGGAAATGCAGATTTATTATTTTGAATAATTTTAATTCACCACAGTTTTAGATTATTTATTAAGTTTTTATAACTGTAAACATATATAAATATTTTGTACAATTACAATTTTAACAAAAACTCTAAATTTTTATTTAAAAACATTTTATTTATTATATACAATTGATTGCATTCTTTGGCGTTTATTAAAAAAAAAACTTATTAATAGATAAAAAAAATTAAACGAATTTAAACACAAAAAATACTTCCACAAAATTTTCATGCACTACCACCTGCAACTGGTGGTGGAACATTTTCTAAATATTCTCCTCTAAAATTTCCAGGTGGATTATAATTTACTACAACAAAAGTACTTGGACCACTATAAAAATATAAATTAATTAATATCTTACTAGTAAATAATACCAACAATTACTCACTTTATTGCAAAACCAACTCCAATTTCTTCACATCTTTTCCATACAACTTGTGTGAAATGTCCACAATTTGAATTAAATCCATTACTACCACCATATGCATATTGTTTTGATTCACTATACCAATATTCAACTGGTATTTTTCCATTTATTGTACTACCAGATGACATATAAATATTTTCACCATATTCTAAATTTGATCTATGTTGTAAGATGTTATTTCTTGCTAAATACTAAATAAAAATAAAAAATAAATTTTTTGTAAATTAAAAAATTTAAATAAAAATTTATTTTATTAAAAATTTTATTTTATAAAATATCAACAGTATTATCAACTAACATGCGCCCATTCACTTGCAAAATTACAAAGATCTCTATTTAGAGTAACTGGAGGACAACCATGTAAAACTCTATATTTATTATGTTCATTAAGACATTCTTGTTCAAAATTATTCATTTTGGAGATTTTATTTCTTTCTCAATTAATTATTAAAAATATAAATGTAATTAAAATTAATTTGTAATGCTTATATAAACTTTAAAGTTTTAAAAACGACTAAAAAATATTTTTCCTTTTTGAACATTTTTATTTATACAAGGGTTCTCTAATCTTAACTTACATTTTAAGGCTTCTGAACTAAAATCATTACGTTTTTATTTTTTTATTTTTCTTTTTCCTTGATTACAAAAACTATTTTTAAAATATAATAATGATTTTTAAATATGAGTACACCTTTATTACTATGTTTAACAATGTTATTGTTTACAACACCACAAATCCTTATCAATTACTGTCTAATAAGAAACTTAAGTGTTTAGTTAGAACTTTATTATATTTTGTTCTGAAGAAACAGGTATGTACTCAGTAAGTAAAATGAATGGACAATTTATAACTATGTAAGAGAAAAAAATATTTTCATTGTGCTACTATAAATTACATGAAAAACATGGACTGGTGTTTTGAAAATATAATATAAAAATCTTTTATATTAGTTCGAAAAATAATATCCAGATTCCGAAATTTTAGAATACATATAGACAATTTATAGTCTGTGAAAAATTCACTACTTTTTAATACTCACATTATACTGTATATTCTCCGGATTAAATTCTTCGGATCATTAATATTTAAAAATGTAAGAGAAAATTGGTTTGTCTAAGTTGAATATTTGCATAACAGTAGAAAGACACAATATTTTAAATAGTTTTAGTAAATTTTTTTAAGTCATTGAGAAAAAAATGAGAGATTTGTATGCAGTACTTTGTTTTTCTTAAAAACTCCTAAATAATTTCAGAAAAAAAGATGACTGATACAGCAAATTAAAGCTAAGTTAACTGGATCGCTAGCTGTAATAAAATTAGGGAAAGCTGCAATGTTTTGTCACATAAAAAATTTGACATTTTTAAAAATATTCAAAATTTTAAAAATAGAAATATGAGTCAAGATTTTACTTGTAGTTCCTATAACATGAAACCTATTGAGCTGTAAACACTTGTGTGTATACAATTTTGTATTCTCATGAGGTTTTATATGCACACGGGATTCTGCAGGAACAATAACATGTATGTATATAAATTTTATGTAGTTGTATATATATATTTTGTTTTGCGAAATTAAATGATTATGTAAAAGAAATAATTATATTTGCTATAAAAATTGCTGACTTAATTAATATGATGGAGAATTTTGCTACCCGATACTATACTATTTGATTTATTTCCGAGCTTTATCAAAATTACACATAACTATACTTTTCTCTTATACAATAATCAATTATAACAAAAAATTTGCTCTAACAAAATTAATTTTTGTTAATTTTAATAATTCTTTTTTGGTTAATAAGTTTTACAAAAACAACCGCTTCTATTATGTTTACTACATACATCTAACTTTTTTTTTGTTGAGTTCTAGAAAATTAATGCATGGCTCATCACTAATTTAATACACCCTTATGATTCTTATGATTCAACATTAAATAATTTTATCATCTTGCAATCACTATTACTTATTGTAAATATTTTTTGTTAGAAAAGATATCAAAGGAGCCGTTCCATTTTTTATTAATTAATATACTTTTGGTAAAGTTTAAGAAACTATAAGTACACAATTGTAAAACTTAACCCTTTTATGAATCATTTAATAATGACTGTAAAGAGAAATAAAAATTTACAATTTTTTATTTGCAAAATATATACGAATAGCAAGTTATAATTTATTAGACTTTGACGAGTTTAAGATTCGTTGCTTATAAGAAATGAATCGTGAAAATTATAGTGGGATTTTTTATTTGTATGAATGATTTTTAAAAATATCTTGACTGTTAAAATCATAGCTATGATTTTAGTGAAAATTAAGCATCATAAAGGCTCCTGGCGATATCTCATCATTCACATGTGTATGTAGCCTAGCCTGATTAATTTGGTCTAAAAATAAAATTCTCCAAAATTTCGGGGTTCAAAATTTTATGAATTAATAATAATAGCCTATACATTAAAGTGATAAAATATTTGAAAGTGATAAAAAATTGTAAAGCACTTAAAAAAATCTTTTTGTTTGTGTGCGAGCACAATATTATAAAATATCTTTGATTATATAAGGATTAAATTTTTTAATCTGTAAATAGTATAGAGGTAATAAATTAAACCTTTGCTTGTAATAAATTGTAAATTATATAGATTATAAAAAGTAAACTGAAGATAAAAAAATTATACAATGTGTAATTAAAAATTAATGATGGTTTAAAAGCTATTTTGGGCCTAAACTCTATGGTAATTATTAAAAAATTAGTCTTGCATAGTAAAGCTATACTGCAATTTTTCAATTTTAAATCGAATACATAAAATCCTCTAAAACCGAAAATTTATTGAATTTTGTTTAATCTAAAAATGGTTTAAGCTTTCAAGGTCCGATGTAATTGTCAAGTTAACTTAAAATTTGAAAATAATCTTTAGCAATATAAAAATTGTCTAAAACCTACTTTTACAAATCTTCCGAATAAAAATTTTTTAAAATTTACAAATTTTTTGAGAAAATCCAACTCATCGATTCATACATCGAAAATAAACAGAAATACAGAACCAAGAGCAAAATTTCTTTTTTACTTTTTGTACCATTAAAGAGTTTATTCATAAAAAAACAATAAAGGAAAACAGCCTCACCCCTTCATTTTCGTGGACCATTTGAATTTGAATTGAAATTACTATTCTCTAGTACTTTAATTTCAATATAAATTGTGCGAGAAGGCTATTAAGAGACATGTAAGAGACTCCAACATAATCCCTTCAAGTGTTTATATTACTATGTTCGGGCCATTTGGTATGAATTGGAATGAGGAATTTTAGAATTAAATATTCTAGTTAGAAAATTGAATGCATACTTTAATCATTGAAATATAAATATCATATATCTTCTCATAGAGATTTGGGAAATTTTTTAGTATTTTAGTATTTTTACTAAAATACTAAAAATTATGCATATGTAAAAGGGTAACAAAATTGAAGCAATCTTATATTTACTGTCCATTGTTACAATTTTAATTTGGTTTCCAGGCTAAACAAAACAAATCATCTTTCTCTTTAGTTTTCTTCATTATAATTTTGATTTTCTTTTCATAAGAACTTGACCTTGATCGCAACCGTTTATTTTTTATTATTCATTGATACCATAATTTCCCTTTGATATTGCGCTAAAAATTTTACTATTAAATAAACATCACATATTTTTATACACATATACATAATGTGTACGTATGCACACTTTTGATGATAATTAGTTATCTATTACCATTATACCTAAACTTATTTCTTTGAGATATGAATTTCAAAAATAAAAATAAAAAAAATAGTTGCTCAAAAGGTGTAGAATTCAAACGCACATTTTATACATTTTCAATCTTTTTAAACTTAACCTACTCGGTACCTATACGAACAAACCCATTTATTTTTTTATCAATTTTTGCGATTTCTAATGTTATTGACTTGAATTTTCAAAGCTCTCTTATACCTTATCTATATAAGTTTATTAGATAAGGAATAGAGAAATAGAAAGAAAAAAATATATTTATTATCTAATTAATATTGAATTTGTTCAAAGTTCTTTTTTTTTAGACAAGTTTTTGAAGTCAAACCATTAATTTTAAAAATAATTTTTTTCTAATTTTAATAAGATTTTTTTCTAAAAAAAAAAATATATATATTTTTCGAATTTCTATAATGAATTTAGTTGAAAAAGAATTTTTAGATGAACATAATCGTCTTCGAGATATACATGATTGTCCACCACTAAGAATTAATAATAAATTAAGTGAATTGGCACAAGAATGGGCTCAACATTTAGCACGAAAAAATATTTTACAATATCAAAAAAATGTTAAATATGGACAAAATGTATTAGTATTAACGGATACAAAAATCAATCCAAAATCAATTGTTCAAACATGGTATAATGAAATCAAAAAATATAATTATGATCGTAGTGATGGTTTTTCATCAGGATGTGGTCATTTTACACAAATGATATGGAAAAATAGTAGAGAAATTGGTATTGGTTATGTACAAAGGTGTGTATGTATGAATTTAATATATCTATAACTTATATTAATATAGATTTAGAATATTATAGATTGGTAAATTATTTACCATAGTCAATTATTTACCATTAATAAAAAACAATAATGATTTATAAATGTGTCTGTCCTTCGATATACTTCTTTGAAATACTAATCAGAATTTCAAACCCTTCATTTGAAATTTTGATTAGTCGAATATTCTACTTTTAGAAAATATTTAACTTATGGCTAAGTATTAATAAGCCCTAAGTAAAAATATCATTTCATTATTATAATACTATTGCTTTTTTCCTTTATATTTTTAGGAATTCGAATATTTTTGTTGTTGTTAACTATGATCCACCAGGAAATTTTATCGGACAATATAATGAAAATGTACCGAAACCAAAACATTCGCCAACAAGATTATTTTGTTTTTTTCAATAATTTTAAAATATTATTCTTTAACATTTTATTTTAATATTATAAAAATATTTTTAATTAAATATACATACACATACATTAATAATTTGTTTTAATTTTCAGAGTTTTCCTTTTGTGATAATTTTGGTAGTTCATAAATCCATATAAATTTTATTTTGTAGAAAACGAACTTAACTTAAAATTTCGTAAATATAGAAATTAAAATAAGACATTTCTATCTTAAAGCAGTGATATAATTTCCTCTGGTTCTACCGAATTAATTTAAATAATTCATTAAAAAATTAATTTAAATAGGAGAAAGATTGAAATATTTTTAATATTAATATTTGAAAGAAAATTAATTGTGTACTGATATTTAGTATTTCTTTTAAAATTTCTGCACGATTGTGAGGAAAACTTTATGTTTAGAAGTTATTCGTGAGGGTAAAATAAAAATAATAAAATTTACAAACAAATACGTTTGGCGTTTGTTTTTTAACCAAATTATTCACAATACAAATTCTAATTTAATATGACCTTAATAATATTAAAGATATTCAATAATAATATTTATTTTATTATGGAATGCATATATACTTGCAAAAATAATACTTTATAACATTGTATACATTCAATATTACAATATTTTAATTCTAAATAATTATATAACTAATGAATAGCAATATAAAACTTGCATAAAATAAAAATAAATACAAAAATTTTATTTATCACAATACAAAAAATAATTTACAAAATTTAAAACTTTGGTATTTAAGGAATATAAAGTATGAATAAAGCAAAAGTTTATTATTTAAAATCTCTAATTTTAAATATATATTATAATGAAGTCCGTCTATTGTCACTGCGACGGATAAATATCGAGAAATTTTATTTAAATTAGTTCCTTTTTCTTAAAACATTTACTGGAAATTGACCAAGAACATTTCCAGGCGGACTATAATTTGCAGCAATGTAAATCCATCCATTCCTAAAATTATAAGAAAAATTATTATAAAAATTTCAATAAAATAGCCCTTAACAAATATTCTTAAAATAAAAAATATTTTGTAGTAACATTTTATTGACATTTCGTATCATGATTACTGCGATAATCTTGCATATATTCGGGCGAAGTATTTTAAGGTGAAATCATTATATATATATAATATAGTCTTGCCAGCTAAAATTGAATTTTATATTATAATTTTATCTACAATATTAATTTATTTAAGAAAAAATATTACACATCCATTAAAAATATATACAAATAATTTAGAAAAAAAATTTTAAAATTAAAATTTAAAATATTTTTTTTTCTTGTTTTCACACTATAGGTCAATGAAATTAGCATTGGTAACATTTTCATTAAATTCATTTTCATTATTACCAATTGGATCAAAATATGCAACAATAAAAATTTCTTCATCCCTAAAGGGATTTAAGATATTTAAAATTACATTACCGTTAAACTATTATAAATTTAATTAAAAGTTTTCATATTATTTTAATTTAACTCACTTTGTAGCCATTCCAACACCAACTTGTTTTGTATTTTTCCATACAAGTTGTGTAAAATGTCCAGTTTTTGAAGAAAAACCAGGCTTATTGAAATTATAATTATTGATTTCATCATACCAACTTTTAACTGCTGTACCACCATCTACCTGATAACCTTTAGATGCATACAAATTTTCACCATATTGGCATCGTGGTCGATGTTGAAGTCCTTTAACATTATAAGCCAAGTGCTATATTCAACAAATATAAAAATAGAGATTTAAAAAAAGGATTTTAGTTAAAAAAAAAAAAATTGAAAATTTACATTAGCCCATTCTTGAGCAAAACTACAAAGTTCATTGCTCATAATTAAAGGTGGAGCATCATGTTTACTTCTATATTTGTTAGTTTCTTCTAGAAATTTTCTTTTAAATTCAGTTTGATCTATATAATTTGTAATATGTATATATATAAATTTAATCAATTATTATTTATTAGTTTAAAAATATGTAGTATTTGTAATTATCAAATTACCTGTAATATGACTAAATTCATTTTTTGAAACGCTTGGAGAATTTTGATGAATACGGTGTACCTCATGAACTTCATGAATATTAGGTTCTTCGTAAGCTTCTTGTATAACTCTAGTTACAATTTTGGTTGTTGTTGTTGTCGTTACATAGCCTCCCGATGAAGCTGATTTTCTGCTGCTAAAATGTGAAAAAAGAAAAATTTTACAATTAAATTTAATATTTCTTAAATTCAAAATTCGAATAATTTTGATTCATTGCACCATATTAAAAACAACATTTTTAGGTTTAGGGATATGAGATGAAAATCATCATGAATGATTTTAATCATATATTTTACCAAAATGATAATTAATTTATAAAAATGTAATTTCCAAAGTATTGTTCAATTATTTTTTAATAGATTTAAATTTTAAGATGTTACTTTTGCCAAAAAATTTAAGATGTTGATAACATACACATTCCTACCGTACTTCGGTAATAAATATAACTTAGTGATTATTTCCTTAGCTAATTAAGATAACTTGGGCATATTAAAGAATTTAATTTTCTTTTAAATTAAGAATTCATTTATTAGCTTACATAATAATATTGACTGATTTATTAATTACTTTCAAATCGGAATCATAAAGGTTTTAATTATATTGTAAAAGTTCACAGAATTTCAAAATATTTATACATGTATGTGCGACTATATTGTCATTTAATGACTAATAAAAATTAAATATTAAAAATTTCATTGGAAAAGTTTACAAATATTCAAAAATATTAATAAACCAATTGCATACATGTATGTTGAGCTATGTTGGAAATACAATTGAGGTTTCGGAAAAGAAAATTCTTGAAGTTCATTGTATTGTTATTACATGTTTTACTACAGTTAGCGGTTTGAATATGCAAATATATAAAATTAAAAATTTAGCTATGTATTTAAAATTATGTAAAAAAAATTATTTTTGAATACTTTTCAACTACACGTATGAATTTAAATAAAAAAAAACGATATTATTTGAAATCCGCTTATACATGCTCATATAATGAAAATTAGGGAATATTGTTCCTATCTCTTAAGTAATCTGGAAACAATCTTAATATAAATGAAAAACGAATCAAAAACAATCTAACATGCAAATTTCAAGACAAAAAGATCACAATTTTTATAAATAATATCACTGTGGCTTACATTAAAATAGTTCGAAAGGTCAACAAGTGTTCAATTGTTGGTAAAAATAAAGTTTGAATAGGTTGCATCTTATTTTATTTTACTTTTAAATGACTCAAGAATTTTAACAAAAAGAACGACAATTATGTATGTATAAGAAAACCTTTAATTAAACTGAAGAATACCGCATACAATAATTAAAATTCAATTAACCTGCACTATTCCATTTTTGGAAAATATTTTTTGTTTAACCTTTCGTCATTACCAAATAATTGTTTTTAAAGTCACAGATATTTTTTTTTTAAGAAGACAATGTGAATATGTGCGAATACGTGCAAATTATCTATAATAAGATCATTGTAGCAAAATATCCAAAAAATTTTAAATTCAATAAAATTAATAATCGGTTTCAGGAGATTTTGTAATTTCTCTTTTTTGTAATATCGATCCTCTTTTCAGTATCTTCCAAATTACATTTGAACTTTGTTTTATTAATTTATTTTATTATTAATTCAGTTGTTAATATATTTTGCGTTCACAAGTGCACAATATCTAAATTTCAAAATATACGTAATTTCATTCAAAAAATGTTCATTGTTCATCATAATTTTAATAATTAACTCACAACCAAAACATCTCCTTTAAAATTTAATTTTGATAACTTATTGAACTGCACCAAAAAAAAAAAGTAAATAACTATTCCAAAAATATCAATTTATTAATAAAGTTAAATATTAATTTTTATTTTTATTTTTCCACCTTTTAACTTTAATTTTAATTCGTTGACTGACTTTAAAAAATCATTAATTTACACTGCAACACCATTTGGATTACACATGCTTAGTAAATGAAAGTATGAAATTTTACATATTTTGGTTCTGATAACAATTATATTTTATTTTTACTATGTAATTTTTATTTTTATTTTTTATTTCCCCTTTTTTGATGATAACAATAGGGCTCAATATGAAGTTATAATATGTGAAGTAAGTAATATGGTTGTAGCAAGGCTATTTTATCAAAATTATTGTAATACAAACAATGAGTAATATTTTATGGCAATGTCATTGCAAATTTTTATTATTAAATGAGTATACTTATAAATTGTAACTTCATTAGATTTATGCTATTGTATAATAATTTTGACAATTAATTTATAATATTGAAAATATATTATTCATTAGTTCTTGACCAGTAATATTGTGTATGAATTGTGATTATAATGATTTAGTTAAAGGAGTTTATTATCACAGACTTGTCTATTAAATAATATATTTGTATATTTCTAAATGTTATTGCGTATGTCTGTAAAGTTCAATTTATTCATAATATTATGCCTATCTCATTTTTTTACCGAATACATATATGAAAGATTGAAACAACCGCTCATATATTCTTGGTATTTTGGCTATTCTTTCACAAATGATTTGAAAAGCTGCCATAGAAGTACCATTTCTTCTGATATGAATTGAAACGGTAAACAAATAAAGAACTAATATTACATTTTTTTGAAACAGTCTTTTTTCGATATTTTGTCTTTTTACAGATTAAAAGGGATTAAAGCATAAACCCGGAAACATAAACTCCCTAGTATCATCGTTTCTTTGCCTTTTTTATTTATTTTTTATAAGGTAGTGATCATTTTTAGTATGACTTGCATTTAAGTATGTACAATTTTTAATGACATTATCAAGTTATTCTATACTCTTATCCTACAGTTGTGTAACTTAACTATAAATTCATCATTTTATTTTATTTAGATCAACACGCTTCCCATTATTCATTTTTCCATGCGAATTAACCTATTGAAATGAAAGCTATAGTAATTGAATTTTTTTTATTTTACAAATATATATATTTATGGATGTGTTGTATATGTAGATGTATACAATGAGTGAATTTATTATATTGGATAATGCGAATTTTTTTTATAAATGTACATATATACATACTTATATATAAATATTTTATTTTATTTATTTAAATTAAAGCAAGGAATAGTATGTAGCTCAACAAGGTCTAGAGAGTTCTTTAACTGATTTTTGTACACATACGCAATTACGTTTAATAAATGAGAAAATATTTAAACTAAAATTACATAAAATTTGCGTAACACACATGAAACTTTACAGTACACGACACAGCCTAAATAAAATTCTTAAAAAAATTGTATTTTTCGAAGGAAAAATTTTTTTTTAAGCAAGAAAATTATAGCATTCTAGGTGTAAAGTTTCGACTTCAGATTTCAGATCATTCTTATTTCTTAACATACAAAATTTAGTAAACTTGTAAAACAAGTTTTAACTTGTAACTTAAGAGAACAACTCTATTTGTATGAGCTCTATCATTCAAAAATTATTAAAATATTTGAAATTTACCCGTTTGAATGTTCACTATCTCTTTTGTCTAATTCAAATTTTTTAGTCTCAATTTCTGTAAATTTTTCATTATTCCTGAAATTCATTGATCCCTGAATTTTTGGTATTTCGGCGGAATCCTTTGATGATGCAAGAAACGTTTGTCTTTCTATCATTGATCGTCGGATTGCATTGATTCTCATTTGCCGAATTTTGTTAAAAATAATTTCTCTAACAAATTTTTTTGTGCATTCTGATTCTTTCTTAGCAGCTGATATTTCCTTAGGTGTTTTATATCTTGATTTATTATCTAAAAATAATTAATTTCACTTTTATTAGAAATTGTAACGTACGTACGTGTACTTACATGATATATGGTATTTTATCTATGTATGAAGACTACTTACAATAATCTGGCTTTTCCCTTGGTAAATTTAGAATGCATGGAAAAAAATAAAACAGATTTTCACATGACATTTTTTTTGTAATTTTTCTTCTTTTTGAACTATAAATTATAATTTAAAACTTTTTTAAAAAAATTTCAAACAAGCGAAAAGACCGAAATTTTTCAAATAATTATAGCCAATATTTTTTTTTATTAATTATATTTTTTTATTGATTTTTATGGTTCCTATGTTATTTAAAAAATTTATTTTATAAATCAAATCAATGTTAATAGCAACAAGTTAAAATTACCTGTACCTGTACAGTTAAAATTACAACTTTTAAATTTAAAATTGCAATAAGATATTCCAATAACGGTAATTACACCTGCTTTACGCATACCTACCTCACCTACATGGATGTATGTACGTATACATATATGCACATTCATATTATTGCCTAATATGGATGGATTTAGTAAGTATGGGTTATTTTTTAAAAAACCTACTACCATTTAAACGAAAAGTGCTGCTTTACAAACCATTAATTTGCTCTGAATTTATCTATTTATTTGAGTTTTATTTTATATGTTAAAGAGAAGGTAATGAACAAATACCTAACTCTACTTTATTTTCGGGTAAATTGTTTCTTTTCATTTATGGAAGTATATCAATCAATGTCAAAGAGAAAGGAGCTTACCGGTTCAGTAGAAGACATTGTTTACAATAATGTTTAGAAAATGAAACTAAGCGTATTTTGAGAACCTTATTGTTTTTATTAGGTCAAACAATATACTTAAGTCATCTTACATAAAAAACTTCATTGATTACATGGAAAATATATTGAATCTCTTAATTAATATGACCTGCGTATTCTGTATAGCATATGTACATGATCAAACTGGATGAATGACTCATGCTTCTTTACTTCAAAATTTAACAGTTTTTTCAAAAGAAACTCAAGAGAAGAAAATGAATCTAAAACAAATAAACAAGAAGTTTTTTTAAACCGCAATTACATACATACATACATTCATATGTTCATGCATGCATAAGCTGGTTTTGTTTTGAAACAATTTAAATGGTAAAAATGTCCTGATTACTTCATGGTATTTGGTAATCAACTAGTCATGATTGGTGATTTGGAACTGCATAGTTTTATAATAGCAAGTCTATACTTAGAAACACAAATTACTAATATGTGTGTATGTAATGTATGTCACTATTTAAATTTAGTTAAAAATTTCATTATGATTAATTCACACTTTATCTGCTCTTTCAGTCATAAATCTAATATTCTGTTAATCTTATTTTCAAGATATTTTTCTTTGTTCGGGAATTATTAAATTGTTTTTATAAATAAGATATTGCATAAAATTGTTAATATATAATTATTTAAATTTCCTACATATAATTAAAAAAACCAAGTGCCTATGACTTAATTTTAGTTTCTTTCACACCATGTTCAAACTAGGACTTAGAAAAGCGATTTTCCGCGGTGAATTGGCAGAATTCATATAAAATACAACTCACATAATTAATTCAATGAAGGCCGCCCAGAATTAAGCGAAATTACTATCGCGACTCATTTTTTTTTATTAAAATTTCACATTTTTGCATTTTCTTTAAAAATTATTTTGAGAAATAACTCAGTGACAGTTGTCAATTTTTGAAGTCAAGTCAAATATCTGAAAAAAAAAAAAATTTGATTTGAAAATAATTCCCAAAAAAAATCATTCACATGTAATATTCCAATCAGGCGACAGGAGAATTCGTTTACCATGAAAATTGGATTCACACTACATACTTTTTTCGCTTTCATTTGACAGTAAACTTGTTTTGGTTGACATTTTGTTTATTTAAAAATTTTAGAAATATGTTTTTGTACTTTGTATTCATATTATATTTTTACCCGAGTGAAATATTTTTGGATTTCAATTTACTAAATATTATTATGAATTTAAATTTTTTTAAAAATTTTTTGAAGTTCCTTAAAAAATTTCCTTTTTTGATTTGAGGAAAACATACAAAATTTTATCCATTCACAATAGGAAAACATGTTAAACTTTGACAAATTCTTTCCATATAAAATTCCATATAAAACACTATCATAATATGTTATTCATTGTAGTGTGAATTGGGTATAAGGTGTCAGTTATCCTTAAAACAGATTCTGCTTTGACATATTATTTTTTTCATGTAAAGTTTTTAATCTGCAAAACCAGGTTCACACTATAGCAAATATACGTAATAAAAAGTGTTTTAGTGAGAATATCATGTTGTTTGTTACAGTTTGAACATAGTTTTACAGATAATTTTAAATCGCGGCGACCGCATAAATTCATTTCAGTTGATAATCTATGTTTATATATTATTTATGATTGTATTAAACAACAATATTCTTCTCATGAAACAAGCAAGACAACCGTAGCTTTGATTCAGTAACTTTCAAATTGTTCGTAATCAGAAAAGTATTTCTAATGGAAAAGTTACAGCAGATTGATAACAGTCGAAAATGAAACATAAATATTATCAAAATAAGGTCTATTTTGCAGTACATAATACAATTTTTTACATAAAATGAAATTTCAAAATTTTAATTGACGGAATTTCACAAATTATTTACTTGACGAAATTTTTTAAACTTTGTAATGGGAAAGTGTAGGCGGAAAATTCCATTCTTTTAAATTAGTTTTAAAATCTGAATGTTACAGTGCAGATGGAAATTGACGGCTCCGATATAAGCAAGTTAATGTCAAGAGAGTTTTAATACACACAAAAATATTACTAATTCGATAAAATATTTCAGCATTTTCTGTTTACCTGGCGAAAAAATTTTTAGAATTAATTTGTCCATACCAACTCTGATTAAGTGTAAACCACGCGATTCTTACTAAGACAATTGAGTAAATATTTTGACATTTGAGTGTTTTATATTAGTGTCATTTATATTGCACTCGGATAACGTCATTTACAGCCATACCATACCAACCAGTAGTTGATTAGATATGTCAAATTTGCATCTTGTTATTGTTTACAAGTACAAATTTTGTAACTTTATTTTAAATTTTTAAATTTTTAAAAATGCTTTCATAATAGAAAGTAATAATTTTTGCTATTAAGAAACCTAATGGAAGCAATAGAATTGGTGAGTGAAAATTTTCCAAATCATTTTCCGTTTTATAATAAATACGTGATAAGTAGCCTAAGTTTGGAAGTTTGTTTATTTCTTCAGTTTTGTTAAGTTTTAACTTTTACATGTTCTTTAAGAACTTTTATAACAACATAAATTTTCTTTTTAGTTAAGAGAATTCAATGGTCTGGGATGCGGTGACGAAAAGAAATGTGCTATAGCATATAGACTGTTTGTTAATCTAAAGGAAGGTAGGTGGGTTTACGAACAAATGTACGTAGGTACATAAGGTGCCTATTTGGTACAAAAAAATTTACAATAATATCTACATGATGTAAATATATCTTTTAATTGTATTATAATTAAAATATAGTTATAGTATTTAATATTACATATTTCCAGTTTGCAAGTATGAAAATATTGAAAGAATATACGATGCAAATTTTGATGAAATTTACTTTTCTGTTCCGGTAGGAAATAAATGGGAAATTTACTTACCGATTTCAAGTTTCGATACCATTGATTTGTTAAAAATCGAAAAATTACAAGAAACATTTTGTAATGATGATACAAAAAGGTCTGAAATTGAGTTTTCTTCTCGTTGGTTTAAGAATTTTTCAATTTCAATTCAATTTTCAATTCTTTCTTTAGTTTCATTTTAGGAATTTGTGACCCTGATTCTACTGTATTGTATTACAAATTAACAAATAAATGGATAGATAAAGAAGAGAAAAAGGCTGAGGAAACAGTCGCGGACTAGATATTTTGTAAAAAAAATATAGTAAAATATATAAGATTAGGAGAAAATTATCTACGTACTTTTGATCTTATAAAATTAAGGTTCAATATTATAATTATTATAGTATTACAAAACAGATAAAAATCATTTTTTAATTACGGCCACAGGAAATTAATCTCAAAAGAAAAATCATGATTGTAAATCTTTGTAACATACTAATAAATATTGCAAAATACTAATTTTCTAATACAAAATTCCATCATTATAAAAATTTGTAATTTTGCACATAAAATAATTATAACAAAAAATTTTAGGTCAAAATTTTAATTTTATAAATCGTTACTAATAAAAACAATTAACTAAAGTTATCAGCTGACATTATAATTTTCATAGTTTTTTATTATTTAGAGTTTGTATTATCGGAACTATTATAAAAATGTCTTCAAAAATGAATTATGATTAACTCTTGATATGATTGAACAACATACTCAGCGATTAGAACTTATATTCTATATTGATCAAATAAATAAAATGCAATATATTATCTGAAAGGAGCAATAGAGGAAATAAAAGAAAAATTTTGGATTATGGTAAGCAAAGTTTTGACTACTTCTTCGGTTTGAAGAAAAAGTAGAGATAACTACCCAAATTGAGTTCACATTTTAATTTTCAATACAAGTGTTTGTTAAGAACGACGTGTTTTAGTATTACCTTCGAATTTACAATTTAAAAAAAAAATCTGATATGATCAGCACGTAACCGGGCGCAATGTATATTGCCTAGTTGAGTGAAAGTGTTACAGAAGATTATGAAAATGCGTTTTTAACACTTTTTCAGAATTTTAAGGACACTAATAAGTTTTTTGTTAATATACCTATAAAAATGTGAATTTGGCTCTTAGTAGAGTTTCGCTTTGTGCTACCCAAATTCCCTGAAATGTTAGTTTCTGTAATAACCAGAACTCAAATTATTAAATTTGAAGAAATTCCATAAATTCGTTCCATAGATATGGTAAAAAATGTTAAATCGGCCTTTAGATCAGTTTTCGAGCCCTGATCCAATTAATTTATGAATTCATTGTTTTACCACCTCGAATTTTAATGTTAAATTCCAATGATCTCGTTTGATTATTTTTTTTTATATACGCAAAAATGTATATTTGGCCTGTCCTGTTGCTAATTTCTTCCAAAGGTTAGGAGGTTTTGCGTACGGTCGAATTAAGCTAATATGTATATGAAAATTTAAGTAAATCAGTTGAATATTTTCTTCAAAATGATCAAAAATGTAAAACAGGCTCGTTAAAAGGCCCAGTTCCCGAGGTCTGATATATTCCAAAGTTGATCAGTCCGTGCCGTAGTGGAAATAAACTTATACATATATAAAATTTCAGTAAAATCATTTCAGCCGAACTTGATATACACGCGTGCACACACAGACAGACCGACACCTCTCTCTAAAAATAGTTTATTTACACTTCCCTACTATAGAGAAGTGCAAAATTTATTGCCATCACTTAATTTCCCTTATTATATGCAATGCGGTCGGTAATACGAGTATGAATAGGCGGATATAAATTTTTGTTTTATTTTCTAAACTTTATTTTGAATGCTCAAAATGCTAATAATCAATGAAATTGGCAAATAACGCTCAATATAATGCTAATTAATGCTCTGTCGAGATTTCCAAACATAAGTTTCCATTGCTATCAGAAATTTCCGTTGACTCCGTCAGGTGAAATAACTTTCAAGAATCAAAAAACCAAGCTAAATATATTTGGTTTAGAAAACATTTAATTGTACACATACGCCAAAAATTACAAACTTTCTTAAAATTTTATTTATTTTTTCAAACTATAACATTGTAAGAAATTTTCATTCAGATAAGTTACTAGTTCACGTACAGTTCTAAGAGCAGAAAATGTAATATTTTATTTTTAATTGCTTATTGCGCTTTGAAATACATACATATATACATAATATGTACATATATAAATTCCATTGCAGGTAATAAAAAACATTCTCTACATTCTACTAAGGGTAAGACATTTATTAAAAAAAAAAGGAGTGATTGCAATTGTACAAAAAATTTTGAAGACTAAGCTTAATCCTAAAATTTACGTAAAAATTTAAGATTTTTATTTTTTATTAATTTGTAAGATATATGTATATATTATATAAATAGATATTATAAATATGTATATAAAATAAAACACTATTTAATTTTTTTTATTTATTTGTTCATAATAATAATAATAATAATAAAGTTTTATTTGAATAAAAACGGCATGCTGTTATATATAAAATTAATAATAATAATTAATTATTTTGTTTTTGTTTTTTTTTAATAATTGTAAATTGATTTCATTTTTAAATCAATTTAAAAAAAAAAATGAAAAACATTAACTATAGATAGACTACTCAAAAAAAAAAAAAAAACAATAAATTTGTATTATATATATAATTATGTCGATATTTTATGCATGTATATATATATATATATATAGATTTTGAAAATGTATAAATATTATATATATATATATATATTTATAAAGTGTATAATATGTAGTTTATCTGTGTTTAAATTTTAATCAATAATATAATAAAAATTTTTCTTTTTCTTCTACTAAATTAATTATAATATTTTAATAATAAATGGTAATAATAATTAATAATTAATTAATTTTCTTTTTCTTTTATTTTTCTTTACTTTTTGTTTTTAGTTCATTCTTCATATTTTGTTATTTTTTAAACTCTAACAATTTCAATATATTCTTAACATTCCCACTTCTTTTCTATTTTTAAAAAACATTTCAATTAATATTTTAATTTTTTTTTTAATTTTTCTTTTATTTTTAATAATTATATTAATAATAATAATAATAATTAGAAGGATATTAAAATTTTTAATTTATTATTTCATATCTTAAAATTTAATATAAACAAATTTTTGCTTATTAATTTATAAAAGTTTTGTAATATTTTATAATAATTGTTTTTATTTTATTTTTTTAAATTTAATTTCATTTTTTATAATAGTTTATAAAATGTTTTTTTTTTAAATATTTTAGAAAAATTTTTTAATTTTTTAGAAAAAAATTGTTTTTTTTTTTGTTTTATTCATGTATTTATATATGCGTATATAAATATATTAACTTTTAATATACATATAAAAAAAAACAGTTGATGTTTTAAGTTTCAAATTATTTTTCTTTGTAAATTTTATTAATAGGAAAATTGCTGTTTCAGTTACATAATAATGCTCAGTTATTTAATTTAACTTAACTTTTACTTTAACTTTTATATTTTATACATTCTATATATGAGTGAATATTTTATTAAAATATAAAAATTTTAATATTAATTTTTTATTTTTCTTTCTTTTTATTTATAAATATATATAATTTAGTTCACAAAAAAAAAAAAAAAAATAGTAATTTTAATATGAATTTAAGTTGTTTGAATTTTTTATTTTATTTCTTTTAGGTTTTAGTAGTTTTATTCATTTAATTAAACAATATTTTAATAATAAAATTTTATAATCTAATAAATTAACATCAACACCAATCAGCTGTATATGTAAAATCTGCAAAGAACATATGCTCTTCTTCAGTCAAATGTCTCGGTTCTTTTGGTGGTGTTAATGCTGGTTTTTCAGAGGTAAATTCTTCATCGAAATTTGATACATCCTCAAGATGTCGCTAAAATAAAAATAAAAATTTATTAATAAAAATTTTAAAAATCATAGAAGAAATTGGAAATTATATTAATAATTTTCTTTCTCTTAAAATAAAACATGTGTTTGGGAATAATAACAAAAAGCTAGTATGTAGTTTGGGAGTAATAATGTTAAAACTACAATAGACAATATAACAAGTGTATTATAGCAGAGATGGATTTATTTACGGTATTTTAATGCTAACAATTCTGGATAAAAAAAAGATTTGTATAATGCAAAGTAAAATTTTTGCGAAATAAAAATTTATTTAATAACTTGATTAAGTTTATTAGAATTACAAATAATAATGAATGTGAATAATAAAACGCGAAATATAAATTTCTCTATAGTTGAAAAAATTATGTTTGGGTTTGGTAAAAAAAAATATTTTCATCAATTAGGAAAATTTCTTCAGTGAAATAAGATTTTTAAAAAAAGGGTTCTAAAAAACTTACGCGACTATGATAGTCTACTGAATTTTTGTGAAATTAATTTTAAATTTTATTGTTAACTTACAATTGTTGGCACAAATGGTGGTCGGACCTTCCGCAATAATAAATCATCCCATGCAATAGTTCTAAAGAATGCTTGTTTTTTAACATCTTCTGCATCACGTTCAGATGAACCAAGTCGTCTTTCGGGATTTTTTCGTAAAAGCTAAAAAAATTAAGATCACAAATAATATTTGACTATTTTATAATTTATTAAAATTTTACCCTTCGCATAATAGCAATTGCTTCTAATGATAAAAATCTTGGATATCTAACTTCATCATTAACAATTGAATCAAAAACTTCTTCTTCATCATCCCCTGGGAATGGAGACTAAAATAAACACAAAATTAAAAAATTATTAAGTTAATAATATTATTAAATTAAGTGATTGAAATTATTTTGTCAACATTATAAAATAAAATGCTCTTAATATACTTTCCATTTTGCACAAAAATATCTAGAATGCAGAAAAAAAAATAAAAAAAAACTAACCTCTCCAACAAGCATTTCAAATATTAAAACTCCTAATCCCCACCAATCTACAGCTCTTGTGTATGATGTTTCAGTTAAAACTTCTGGTGCTAAAAATTCTGGTGTACCACAAAATGTTCCAGTACGATCACCAAAGCCCATACCTTCTTTACATAAACCAAAATCAGCGATTTTTACATAACCTAAAATAAATAAATGAAAAATTAAATTAGTACTCGTATGTAAGAATAAAAAGTTTCGTTATCTTGGAGAAAATTTTCAGTTTCTTTTACGATTTGGAAATTTCGAAGAGTCATCTTATTATTAATATGTTTTCAATTTCAACGTTGACATATACATTTCCTATATATTTTTTTTAAATTCATAAAATAAATTGCTAATTATAGAAATTTAACAATTTAGTATTAGAGTTTCTTTAATCATATAACGATTTTATTTTTTAATGTAAATTTCTTTAGCACAACAAAAACAAATAATAAGTTGAGGTGACGAGCTTCTAGAGGAAGCAAAGAACGAAAAAATAAGTAGAAACTGTTTCATTAGAGCATTGTTTGGACCAGTTTGTGCAACCTTTCAGTCTAAATGAGAGCAAAATGAATATTAGGCAAAGTACTTGTAGTAATTGAATACATTGATTTTCTAAGGTTGGAACAGTATTTTTATAGTAGTTAAAAGATTGACTATTCGAATAGTATATTATAATTAATTGGAAATTTTTTAATTATTAGAAAATTTTAAATCTAATTATAAACAATTTTTAAGATCAATATATTATTTTGCCCTATAAAAATTGTATGAACTGTAACTCCCCTCTGTAAACTCCTCTACCTCCAATAAATTTTTTTCTCTTTAATTAGAAATTAATAAATTAATAAACTCATTTCGATTCCTTCTTACCTTCTGTATCTAATAACAGATTATCTAATTTCAAGTCACGATAAATAATTTTGTTTTCATGCAAATATTGTAAACCTAAAACAACACATGCAGCATAAAACACAGCACGTGGCTCTGAGAATACATCTGTATGGATGTGCATCATTAGATCACCACCAGCGGCATATTCCATTACAAAACAAACATGTTGCTAAAATTATAAAAAAAAATATATATTTAATATTAATTTTTATTAATAATTGAATTTAACTAAATAAAAATTTCTGTGTACTGTTAAAAAAGTAAACAAGAAAATATTAAAATCTAATTTTATTTGAAGAGATAGCGTCTGGCTTCACAAGCAGAGCTTATTATCGGAAACGGTTTTGTTTTATTATATTTAAAATCATTTTTTTTCTAAAGAAGTTAAGGATATGAAATTTATTACATTTGTAATAAGATAGGAGCTTGAAATAGTAAAATTGATGAAAACAATAACAAAATAGCATTTAAAATCAAGAAAATAGTTATCAAGTGAAGATAAAAAAATTTCAAAAGGGTCCTATCACACATTACAAGATAAGTAAAAATTTTAAAAAGAAGGAGTCAAGAAGATTAAATTAAAAAATTTTTAAAAATTGCAAAAGGTTACAAAATAAAGTAAAAAAGTATCTAAAAAAAACAATAACTTGGCTAACAATAATGTTGAATATAGAAAATTTTCTCTTGTTTACTTGAATTTTACTTCTTTTCAAAAATTTTCTAAAAATAAAGTATTTCGATTTAAAATGACAATCCAATTTCAGATATTGGATGGTTTCCGAAATTTTCAAGAAATTGGAAGGTTGAGTGAAAATTCAATATACATATAAATTGTTGGCAGAGTAGGTCTTTAAAATATTTTTTTTTTTTAGTTTTTGCTAAATAATTTAGGATGGAAAATCGAAAGTATCTACATGGGTATTCTTAGGCTTATACAAAATCTAAATAATTGAAAATATTATCCTTGACATGTAAAAATGAATTTTCTTATTGAATCGGTAAGGATTTCAATGATTCACTATAATTATAATGCAGTAGTAAAATATGAAAAAAAATATGTATAACAGAATTCGTATGTAATTTGCAATATTGATTGAAAATTGCACCAATGTAATCTTTTTCTGTATAAGTATATACATATGCATGAAATTCAATTGGTTAACTATTCTATAATTTAATAACTTTTAAATAATTTTAAAATGTAGTCCTGTAATTGAAATTAGTACATTTATATTAGTGTAATACAGAAATTTAACTAAATTTTTTTTATATTGTTGACAAGCTCAATTTTGAATTACAGTAACTAATTTAAAACTATGTTTTTCCAAATAAGAATTCAAATTTTCAGATGAAATTAATTGTCTCAGTTTAAAGGATTGGTAATTTTGGAATTTTACACCTTTTTGAGATGAACATAGTCAAAATGTATCGCCTATTGTCAACCTAAAAGAAAATAATTAGATTTGTCACTTTACACAAAAATATTTAACAGGTAAGTTTGTCTTTTCTAACATTAATAAAACTAGACCATTTGCATCAAAGCATCTAGATAATATTATACTTAATGTATAATATATTATTAATTATAATATTCATACTTAATGTTATATATTAACTTACCTCAGTTTGAAAGCATGCATACAAATTAACTAAAAATGGATGTCTCATTGCGTTAGCAACTTCAAATATTCTTTTTTCACTTAATAATGATTCAACTTCATCTCTAGATATAATGTCACCTTTCTTTAATGCTTTTATTGCATAATATTCATTGCTTGTTTTTAATTGTGATAATATAACTTTACCAAAATGACCACGTCCCAATACACTTAATAAACGGAAATTATCAATTGATAGATTACCAGTTGATTGTGATTGTCGTCTTGATTCATATGCAGAATCACGATATTGTAAACGTTGTACAACTCTACGATTAGCTGGTAATGGTTGTTGTTGTTGTTGCTGTTGTTGTTGATGTGCCTGCTGTTGTTGAATAATATTTGGTTGTATTAAACCAACAGAATTATTAACCAATTCAAATTGATTTTGATAAATTGGTTGTTGTTGTTGTTGGTGCTGTTGTTGTTGTTGTTGAATAACTGCATTAGGAATATGTTGCCTTTGCATTGGTTGCGGTGTAAATGGTGGTTGTTGTTGTTGTTGTTGATACTGTTGTGGTATAGATGAATCTTGTATTATAGGAGATGTTGGTACATATTGTTGTTGTTGTTGTTGCTGTTGTTGATTATTATTAACAGCCAAATTTCCAAATTGTGATATTATCTATATTTATTAAAACATTGATTGATAAAATATAAAAATTTTATTAAAAAATAAATTAGTAAATATTTCAAAAAAGAAATTTTGGAGTTTTATTTTTTACAAATTTGAAAATTAAAATTTTGATTAGAAAACCAATTTTTTTTTATAAATTTTTTTTTTTTTTTTTAAATAAAACATAAAATTTTTAAGCAACACGGTAGAATTTTTTCCTTTGCAGATCATTTAAATACATAATTATTTTAAAAAGGATATTCGATACAAGTATTTTTTTTATATCCATTTTGAAGTATAAATTTTATATGTGTATGTTTATACAACTGCATAAATATGTGTAAATTTTTATTGTGTATAAAATAATTATTATGACATTGCATTCAAGAACATCAGCAAAATATAACCAACACCAAATTCAAAGCATGTGTGTATATAGAAGCTTTGCATACAACAATACTAAAATGTTAACAATAATAAAGTTTAAAAAAAAAATTTTTTTTTCATTTGATTCAGAAACTGTTTACGAATTTTAGTAAAAAAAGAAAGGGAGAATTTTAACACATTATGAGTTTTAAGTTGTTATTTAAATTGTTACTCTCAACTTGCACAAAAAATAATGGAAAATATGAATTTAAATTTGAAAATCTAATTAAAATTGTTATTTGAGTATTTGAGTCGGAAATGGTTACGTAAAAACATAATTTTCAAACCCTTGTACTAAATTGAATTATTTAAGAGTTAGTTTGCTTTATTATTTTAATTTACTTACAACAATAAGAAACAGTTTTAAACATAAACTTGTAAGTGTTAATATATTATCTCCTATATTCTCTGAGACATGATAATTTCAAATTTTAGAAATTTGTTTCATACTTAAGGCTGCGAAATTTTTGAACAATATCTTAAATTTAACTATAACGTATAGTAGGAAAAATAGAAATTTTATGAAAATCTTCTTTAATTTTAAGGATCACATAATTGTTTTGTTTCTATTTTATTTTCTTTAACATAATAACAATATAAATTTGTTTCTACTAAAGTATTTTCAATATAACAAATTATAAATTTAAGGTTTATAGCTAAAAGTATGAATTATTTGTTAGAAAACAGAATATAAGTTGCCTCCTAACAGAAAATAGGTACATAATTTGTATTAGGTCTTCTTTGTTTAGTTTAAAAGAAAAAAAGTAATGCTTTCAAATTTTGAATAAAGGAACCTCAAATAAATCTTTGGTTTTTCAGTTTCTTTCTAAATAATACACTAGATTCTCTCAATAAATAAACGGATCTACTTGATTTACTTGAATTATAAAAGTCAAACTGGTAAAAGAATTTTTACCTATACATTTTAATAATTCTTTTCAATAGTAAGTAAGAAAATTAATGTATGAAATTGGCTTGTATTGCAAATTTATTAAACATATTATTATTTAACCATTGATATTGAACATAAAATAACATATTATTTAAGGCAATAAAATCTAGATAACAAGATTTGTAAAATTTATTTGTAAATTTAATATGTATGTATATAGAAACAGTTGAAATTATATGAAATTATTGCAATAAACAAGACGACATTCAAATTCACATATTTTTATAAATATGAATTATAAATTGGAATTGTAAGTTCCAAGCCATTGTAAGGATGAAACATACGAGTAATATGTAATTTTAATTACAAATTATAATTGTGACATTTGAAAATAGCTTGGGCAATTTATTCTTATACATACGTAGATCGTCAATGATCCTCAAAAATTAATTACAATTACCAAATCATCGTTTGTTACTACTAAAATTTTTCAAAAATTTTCGGATTTAAATAATTAAATTTTGCAAGTAGCTATTTAGAAATCATAAAAAAAAAATAAATTTAATAAAAATATTTTATATTTGTGTTTACATGCAATTTTTAGTTTTTTAGTGCAAAAGCATTGAAAATCGGATGAAAAATGAATTATAAACAAAAAAAATTTTTAATTGAACAATTATTTTACAATTTTTGCATATTTTACATTTTTATAATAATTCATAAATATTTACTTAATTATTATGTTATGTCATTAGTGCAAGAAATTGGTGATTTTGTGAAAATTATTTATTAAAACAAAAAAAAAAACAAAAAGAGAGAAAAATTTTTCACAAGAAAAGTGTTATCTGTACATTTACATATTTTATTAAATTTTTATATTTACAAAGATTTAGAAATACATACATACATATATTATATGCATACATACGAGTATACGCACGTATACATATATTTATATATAAATAAACAAGATTTATTAAAGAATTTTCCCTTTGATTTTAAGAGTTTAGGAAAAATGAAGAAAAGAATTTTCCTGTCAATAAGACTAGTAAAAAAAAAAAAAAAAAAAAAAAACGACAAAACGGAAGGAAAATAAACAACAAATTTGCAGCGCTTTACAAATATATATTAAAAAGGCATAATAATGAAATTTAAAAAACGAGAGACAGAAAAAATATAGACAAAAAAAAAACTAAATTAAAAAAAAAAAAAACAGAAATTCAACAAAACAAAAAAAAAAACAAAGAAAATCAATCACTAAATCTGACCTCTACACCACACAAACTAACATCAATTATTTTAACGCCACCAACACTAATACGATCATCATTGCATTCATCATTATCATCATCATCATCATAATCAGGATAATTGACCATTTGTGATAAACTTGGTGACGGTGATGGTGGCATTTCAATAATAGGACTAGGTGTTATATTATTAGAACCACTATGAAATACAACAGGACCAGGATTTATTGGTATTGTTAACATTGGACGTTGTTGTTGTTGCTGTTGCTGTAATTGTTGTTGTTGGTGTATTTGTTGTTGATGTTGTTGATATAATCCTCTATAACCTATATTACTTACATCACTATTCGCATATATCTGTTCCTGTGGTGAATATAATTGTTGCTGCTGTTGTTGTTGTTGCTGTTGTTGATACAACTGTTGTTGCCTTTGTTGTTGTTGATATATAAATGACTGTTGTGGTTGTAAATTATGATCACCATATTTTGGTTGATATTGAAATTGTGACTTCTGTTGTAATTGATTTTGGTAAATTGCTGATGTTGACTTTGGCTGATGAAAAGATAAATGATGTGAATATGGTTGCTGTTGTTGTTGAAATTGTTGTTGAAACTGTGATTTCGATGACGATAAAGAATGATTATAATGTAAAGTTGTTTGATCCATTTGATTAAGAAAATCAAACTCTCTCAAAGCATTCTGTAACTGCGATTAATTTATGGTAATAACATATAAAAATAAAACAAAATCAAAAACAAAACAAAAAAAAAATATACAAAAAAATAAAAGAGTACATACGACGTACATTGAACAAGTAAGGACACCGGTAAAAAAAAAAACAAAAGGGAATTGGGCAAAATTAAAAGTATAATAAAGAAAGAAAGAAAGAATAAGAAATATGTATATGTATGAACATTTAGAGAAGGATGAAAAATACATGCGTATATGTGTATGCGCATATTATATAATCACATACACATATACATATGTTTTCAAAAATTTACATTCTTAAAAATTTTTAAAAAATAAATTTTCTTTTTGTTTCATACAAGCGTGCTTAATAAACAAGGTGCAATGGGTGTATAATTTTTCATTTTTTGATCTTTCAAGTTAAAATTTAACATGTCCGGACTAATGTTACCGTATCCACAAATTTAAATGATCGCGATTAATTGTAATAATTTAAAGAACTATACGAGCATTATTAGCATTTCTTTTGGTATTTAGGTTCTGGTAAATCCTCTTTATTTTTAAAATGCATTCAATATTGTAAGAATGTGAAATAATTTCAAAAGTTATTGAGGAACAATAGGCCTTAAACATGTTAATCTTAAAATATTTTAATCAAAATGAATATTTTATTTTTAGAAAACACTATTATTATTAAAAAATAATATTTTTAATGTTAAACGAAACAATGAAATCAAATAAATACAATTTAAGCTAGAAAAAAAATTATACCAGATAAAGGCTACATGCTACCAAAATTTTTGAGAATTTTATGGATGAAATTTTGATTTTAATTTATTTGATTTTATTTGATTTTATTTGTTTCCTAAATCATTAAAAATATTTTATTAAAATTTCCACAACCAAAGTGTTAAATAGCAAAAAAAAAAAAAAAAAAACAAGTAATAATTATAAATAAACACGAGATCAGCAGTTTTTGTTTTAATGCTTATTTTTTCGACTACAATCAAATTACGCGATTTTTATTTTTTTTTTTTAAATATTAGCGATGTTTCTTTTAAAAAATCGGTAAAAAAAGAATTAAACAACAAAATAAAAGCCAAAATACTGCAATCGATTTTCACTTACCTCCTGATCTTGAACAGTTTTAGGTATTTGTTGTTGTGGTGGTGGAATCACTGGTGGCGGAGGTGGTGATGGCATTGGTGTTTTCTTTTGTGGTTTTTGCCCAGCAAATATTTGTCTTTCATTTTGTACTGGGGATGGTAATTGCTGTTGCAGTTGTTGCTGTTGCTGCTGTTGTTGTTGTTGATTATTATTTTGTTTATTTAAATGAGATGATGGTGGTGTTTCTGGTGGTAAAGCTGTAATACCTTGTAAACTAAGTGGTCTAGCACCACCTAAACCCATTGTTGTGAGATCAGGGTTTTCACCTGGTGTTTCTGTATTTTCAGTATCAATATCACCTTGACTGAAATTTAATATAACTGGTGTTGGACCTGGTGTATAAGGTTCTGTATCTGATGTACCACCAGATGATGGTGTTCTTGATATTTGCGTTTGATTTTGATTTTGTTGTGGTGTACTACGCTTTAATAAACGACCCCATGTTGCTATATTTATATTCATTTGTTTAGCTCTTGGTATATTCTTTACTTGCTGTTTATTAAATATCATACGTTGACGTTGTAATTTTGGTTTCTGTGATATCATTGGATTTAAAAATTTAATTTCAGCAAATAATAATCCTTGAGGTTCTAATTGTAATGCCATACCATGTCGTACATCATCAATAAATTCTTCTAAACGTAAAAATTTTACCGCACATAATTCACGCCAATCCCGCCAATAAACACCAATTTCTAATTCACGTGATCGATCTAGATCAATTGAAAAACGTTGATCCCATGCCTGTTGTGAACATGGTTTCCATGATGTTTGAGCAACTGTAATATTATCCAATTTAATTACAGCCATTATTTCTGATGATATTTCATCTTTAACATTATAACTTTTTGATGAGCTGCGACTTGTTACACCTTTAACGAAACTTCTTAAATCACCGGATGGTGATGAATTATTATCTTTATCACGTCTAGAACGTCCAGGTACATCTTCTAATAGATCTTGACATCCCATTAAACGTACTTCTAATTTACCGGTAACAGATGCACAACGACCCAGCGATGATACAGCTTGATATGGTTTACCACCGAAACCACCTTGAAATGGTTGCAATGATGTATATGTAACTGGTATTGGTGATGATGCTTGAACACTTTGTAATTCTGATTTTAATTGTTGAGCTGCTGGTGAATCATGTGGTAATTCTTGACGACGTAATTCTAATGATAAACGTAACAAATCAAGTTTTCGTGATGATTCTGAAAGTCTACTTTGAGCCTGTAATTAATTTAAATTAAATTAAATATTATTTTTTTTTCAAATTGAAAATTTTATTTAATTGAATAATAAAAATATAATTATAATGATAATTTTAAATAATTACTCAATTGAATTTTGCTCAATTCATTTTTAGTTACTTACAATGGATTTAAATCAAATCTTAGATTATAGATTTAGATCTTCTACAAATATGAAAGGGTTTATATTTTTGTTGATCTCCACAGATTCATAGATGCACAAATTTCTTTACCTTCTTTTACAACAATGTAAATATGAAACAGTTATTGTCAGGCTCGTTTAATGCTCTACAGTCTTTGGAACAAATTCAACAGATCCCATAAAACCATATTATTCATATAAACTGTAATTTTTTGTAATAATAAAGGAAACTGATGTTGCAGTTCCGTTTCCAGGCTTTGCAATGTGAAACCAAATTAAATTGAAAATCATGTTTAAGTTTAATTTATTTTTTTTTGTTTTATTTTCCAAAAGCATTTGAATTTTTTATACACTAAATTTACAAATATTGTAAATATTAACATTTTATACAAAATCTAAACATTTAACATTTTTACAAATCCTTCTACAAAAATCAAAAAAGAAAAAATCTTTTTAACAGGAAAAATTCTTCTCTTTGTCTTCAAAAATTTGAAATAAAAAAAATGCAGCTTGTTAGTTTTTTTTTTGTTTAAAAGCATTAAAATAAATTGCATAAAAAATCAATTAAACACAGAGAATTTACAATTACTAGTATTATTCAAAATTTAAAAAATTTAATTGTAATATTTTCGAGTTTTATTTAAAAAATTAACGCCCTTTTCATATTTCTAACTATTTAAAAAATATTATTTACTACTTTAAATGTGATAACGACCTACATATTTTCTGACACATTTTTTTTTTTTACTATTTTTCACTTAAATGCAAATTTTTTTTTGTCTCTCTCTGCAAATTTCTAATTAACTTTGATTTTTTCTCAACCAAAAGATACCTTTGGGTGTGTCACCCATTGAATATGCTCTGCCACGACCTTCACCCGATTTTTGAAACCCTGAACGTTCATTGAACCAACGTCTACAATGTTCACATTCACAATCAGGATTTTTAGCTGGTCCAACATGATGACCAGGTTTACGCATTTGTGTTACAACACTACCAAAACGTCTTGCTCTTGCCAAATATTCTGTTGTATAACCTGATAGATTAGATTGTAAAGTTGAAGATTCACTGCCACTTTTATTATAGTCAGCTGTAAACATAACACGTGCTCTTCTATCTGGAAAATCAAATGGATTACGATCTTCACTACCATAACGTTGAGCTCGAGCAAGTTGATGTGAAAGATATTGTGGCATTGTTGTGAATTTTTGTTCTGATGATTGTTGATTTGGTGATGATTGTTTAAAATTAGGGCTAGTGTTTTTAGTACTTGCATTATTATTATTATTGTTATTGTTAATAGGTTCATCTCTTTCAGGAATAGTTTGATTTGAAAATCCATAATATTTAGTTGGTGTGTTAGATTCTGGGAATAATTCATATTCTGGTGTTATCGAATGTTGTCGTTGTTGCCATGCATATTGCATTGGTTCATTAGTTTGTTGTGAATAACCATGTAAAAATTGTTGAATTCTTGTTTGATGAGGTGAAATGGGACGTTGTGTATGAATTGGTGGGTGTATAGGTCCTAAATAAGGTTGTGGTGATGCATTATAATTAGGTAAATTTTGGGTATATAATTGACCTCCAGGTGATGGATATGGTTGTTGTGGTGGTGTCGCATAAGAATGACTTTGTGGAGAAGTGTATAGATGACTTTGAGGACTTAAATTATATTTTTGATTTGTTTGAATTCTAAACGATGTATCAGGGCTTCGAGCTGGACTAAGAAAAGATTTTTGTGGTGAAATATTTCTAAATGGGGGCGTTTCTGGGGATGGTTGAACACTACGATAATTTAGACGGTGATATTCTTCGGGATAAAAATCAGGCTGATAAAATGATTGTTCATTACTTGATCCACTCCATAATTTTTCCATATTTCGAATTCTCATACGATCACTAGCATTGTCATAATCAAAACTGTCAGTACGAGCTACGCTAATTTCAGTTTCCTTCCAAGATGATTCCATATCAAGAGAAGACATTGCTTTACTAGAAATACTACTACAAGTCATATCACGCATTGTTGATCGCGACGAGTTTGGATAATTTGAGCTGATAGCATCATCACTGGGATCCCTATGAACGTGTTTATTATTACGAACTGTTAATTTATTATTTTTTTGATCCCCAATATGTTTTTTGAATAACAATTGTTTAGATTCACTGACTTCTTCTGCTGTAGTTGATTTAGTTATCGCATGTCCAACATTCATTAACATTTCATTTTTAGGATCTGTTTGAGGATTTGCAAAAAATTGTGGTGGTCTAATTTTACTTGCACTTCTTCCTCGCTGTAAACCAGGCGATTTTTGTTTAACCAACTCTTCTTGCTGTTGTTTTAATTGTTGTTGTTGATTTAAAAATTTTCTTGGTAAATCTGTTTTTCCAGCTCGTTGATGTTTAAGTAACATTTGTTCTGTGTCTAATACAGTTTGTGGTGTGGAATTAGATTCCATATCATGTTTATTTTCATCTGATGATATTGATAGATCTAAATCATCTTCATCTTCTTCTTCATCCGAACCAGTACAATAAACATCAATATGAACAGTTCTTGGCGGTTTCTTGGTATCGGATTTTGATGATGATCCTGCTCCAGATTCAAATGCTGAACCAAAAGCATTTTGATTAGCTAAATTCTGGAGCATTTGTGCGGGTAATGGAGGAATTTTAGGTAGCGAAGGAGATTTATGAGTTTGTGGTGGTGATATAAATGAAGAGGGCTAAAAATAAAAATTAAATTAGAATGTTTTGTTTTATAGAACGGGAAAAATAATAATAATAATTACCATAAACGAGCTTCCCCCCTCGACAGGTAACGATGAAGTTTTGCGATGATTAGGTGACGACATTACAGAATCTGTATGTCGTCTCTGTTGATATGGCTGTTGTTTTTTTCTCTTTCCATCAATATTATCATTTGGATCAATTCCTACCTCTTCGCCATAAGTTTGGAATGGAATTGATTGAAAATATTTTGTTTCAGTATCACTAGTTTGGGAAAAAGCATCACGTAAGGAACAAATTTTACTAAATGAAAATTCATGTGGTGATGGTTTTTTCGAAGGTGGTCCCCTTGCCTCCTTAAATTATTAAATTATAGTTTATAATAATAATTGAATATGAAATATTTTATAAATTTCAAATTTTTTATTACCTGCTCTGGGGATACAGTATATGTAGTAGTAGTATTAAATGTTAATGGCTCGGAGTCTGATGGTATTTTACCATTTTTAGTTGGTATAAAATCAGCTACAGCTGATAATATTATGTTACACGTACTTTTACATCGTGTTCCATATTTTGGAGCTTTTCTAGGTGATTGATTTGAACAATTTCCAGAGTCGACTGTTGTAGTTGTCGAACGAAAACTTTCTGACTGTCCCTAAATTAAAAATGGCCGGAAAATTATTAAATAAAATTTTTTATGAGTTCGAAAAAGGAACATAGTATTAGTCACTTTTTCTCTTTTGTATTTAAAACGCGTTGTTATTTTTAAATATTATGTGCCTATGCGTTTCTTTTTAAATTAAATCTTTAACAACTAAATTTATGTTTCAATAATGTGACATAAGGCACATCAAAGGATTAACTAGAAATTAAATATGATTAAAATGAAATTATTTTATTTAACCGTGAAGAGGTTTTTGTAAATAAACTTGATAACAAAATTAATTTTATTAAATTGAGTGTAAAGTTCTTTTTGACGTCAAAATGTCTAAGAAATTAATTCATAATAATATTTCCAGATGACCACCCGAAAATAACAATAAAGACTTAATAATATATAAAAAAAATATATAAAATTAATTGGAAAAATGTGTCAAGATAAAAATAATTTTTCATATGCCACGAGCTTTAACGAAAATGAAAATGCAAAATTAAAATTATGATAGCAAGTGTACAGAGCATAAATCTATTTGGATCGATGAATCACTGTTATTATAGAAATATTGTAGCACGTATTCAATATGCAACAATTGTGTTGCTGGAAACAAAATAATGTTGAATGGAATTTCATTTATTTTAGAATTCGAACCGAGTGAAATGAAATTTATTTCTCAAATTAAGTATAAAAATAAAATATAGTACCTTTCCTATGGAACCATGACGTTTTTTATCTTTTGATGCCAATAATGGTATTTTTGAAGTTGTATTTTTTATTGTTGAACCGGTTGATGTTACAGTTGGTATTGCCGTTATAGTAGCTTTTAATACATTTTCTGATGTCTTTAAATCTTCTCTATTTTCAAAATTATCATCTTGATTTTCATTATCTTTTGATTCATTTGAACTCCATTTATAAAAAACTTTTATTGGATTATTTTGATTATTATTATTATTATTCTCTGTTGTTGTTGTTGTACTATTTGTTACATTTGTAATTTTTTCACCTGGTTTTCTATTTCTAAATGTTAATTGAGCATGTACAGTCCATTCAGCTGTTAATTTTGGTGAACCACTATTATTACTACTATTGCTGCCATCATTACCACTACCGTTGCTACTTAAATTATCATCATTATCATCATTATTATTATCATCACCTTCATTTGATATTATTGGAATTGGTGTTATACCAGTTGATGTTGAACCAATTGTTTGTGTATCACTTTCAATTTGTATTGATTTTGTATCATCACCATCATCATTACCATCATCATTTTTAATAATTAATTTTTCAACTACAGTATTATCAATATCAGAATCATTACCACTTTCTTGATTACTCATTATGAATTATTTTTTTATATTTAATTTATTATAGATAATTAAGTTGAATTAAAAAATTTATAAAAATGAATAGAAATTTAAGAATGTCTGAACATAATGTTTATGATGCTCAAACAATTTGTCATATTTTTATAGTATTTGAAATTTTCATGCAGACTTATTTTAATCAGTAATAAGTATGAATATTAAAAAATGGTGATAATATTGTGGAAATATCTTGTAATATTTTCATCTGATCAACACTTCGATATTAAGAATCTTGGTTCATATGTAGAAAATTTTAATAATTTATTCAAAAAATTTAAGATGAACAACAAATTTTTTTTTTTTTCTAAAACATTCGAATAATATGTGAAGTCTCCAAAAAGTCTCCAAAATGATATTTTTTTCTCTTGAACACCTACACTTGTATTCTCTATAGTCTCTATATAATTTCCATTATTTTTCAACAAATTTTTTCATTAATTTTCTTTTTGTATTGCCGTTGGTTATGTCTGCAAATAATAAATTTGGTTATGGGATATTTCGTTTTCTTTTCGATTTTCTCTTTTTTTAAACATACTCAAGTCTCAATGTGAGAAAATTTTTTTAGTAGATGAATGTGTATTGCCATTGTATAACGATAGCAGCAAAATATAAAATATATGTGCATGTATGTACGTCAGATCGTAATGATGAGTTTTCCTTATTATATTTCTGTTTGTTTGATTCAATGAAGTGGTTCAATGAGTTTTTTTTAATTTTTTGTTTTTTTTTCTTTTGAAAAATTTTAATTTTCTCAATAAAATGATTTCCCTGACGAAATTTTTCTATTTTTTATACGAAAATATTTCTTATAGGCATATTGTTATTATTGTTTAGCCAAAAAAAAATTTTTTTTTTTCAAAACTGTGTATGATATCTGATCTAATTTTAAATATTTTGCTGGTTGGTATATGTGAATGCGTATGTAATTTCCATACGTTTTAATTTAGGCGTAGGGTGCTCTTATTTTGTATGTAGTTGCGTTATAATTTCAGACTATTTATTTTAAATATTTTTTTTATGTATTTTTATACGTTTGTTTTTGTTTTTTTGATCATTTAAATTAAAAATTTTTTTTTTTTTTATTTTATTTTTTTATATATTTAAAATGTTGATATAGGTTAAATTTGCCGACTATAAGGAATGATTTTGATGGTTGATTTTATTGTTTTTATGTTTTAAATAATCTTAATGATTAAATTTAGCCATTATTATAATTTTTTTATTTTCATTTCACTTTAGTTTTCAAAATTAATTAATCACATTTTTAATTATCTAATTGGATTTTTTTGTTTTTTTTTTGTTTAAGATAATTTTTTATTTCTTTACAGTTTTGTTGGAATATAATTTTAAAAATAGAAAAAAAAAATATAAAATTATATATTTTAAAAAGACCTACAGTAATTCTTGAGGTGTCTGTTTTTATTTCTGTTTTTTTTTTTATTAGGATTTTTTGTATTTTACCTTATCCTATTATAATCGTACTTCTTTGTTTGGTTTTTTATTCAGGAATCTTTTAATCTATTAATTATTTAAAATAAAAAAAAACACACATACAGAAACATTTTGTTACAAAATTTTTCAAAATTTTTATTAATTTTCTAATTTATTAAAAAATATTAATTAACAATTAAGAATAAGAGAGTATGAGAAGAAAATATTACAGGAAAATATGTTTTTTTTGTCAAAATGCAAAAGTGTATTGTGACATTTCACAATAAATTTGACAAAATGGATGTTGGCAGATGATTAATTATTCGCAACATTGTATGCAAAAAACTCATAATTTGAAGTAGATATTAATAAGCGATTCGGTTGCTTAGCATTGTTGAAAAACTAAACATATTTTTAAGTGTTTACAATAATACCTAGCGGCCGATGTTGGAAAACTAAACATTTTAATGTGTAAGAGTTATAAAATTTTTCAAAAAGTAGACAATTAGAATAAAAATCATAAAAAAAAAATGTGTAAATTTTTTGCCCTATATAAAAAGTAATTAAAAATAAGAAATATTTCGCAGAGTGGGCGTATTCGAATAAAAAATCATATGTCAAAATGATCGAAAACTTTTGTTTATTTGCTACAAAGAAAAAAAATATCAAGCTACAGGTATAAGTTGTTAATTTAATTACAAATGAAAACGTATGATTTTGTCAGGCCTCTGACAATACGCTTTTTTCAGAGGTTTTCGTAATGTTTTATTTATGATATTTCAAACATAATGCCAAATACTGCTGAATATATGGAAAACTATATGTGCGTGGAAAACATTACTAATAATAAAAAATTTTGCAATAAATTTTTGAAATTGAAATTTTGAAAAACTTAGTTTTAATTTTGAAAATTATTTTTTACTATAAAACTTAAGGTAAGAGTTGAAAAATTTTTTTTTTCTGCGTTTAAAAAATAATTTATATTTGTGTATACACTTTTCAATTTCAACGTGGTTTTACACACTTCACATTCTCTTTTCAAAATTTCCGTTTACTCTTTAATTAAAATAAAGCTTCTATATATATGCAAAATTATACACACTTGTTTATTCTTTAAACTTTAAAGAGAGTGAAATAAAGTGCGTTTAAAAATTATTTACATTGAAAAATGTGAGGTAAATGTCTGATATAAATTGGAAGTTTTATTAAATAAAATAAACTAAATATTTGTTTATATCGGGGATAATGTGACAGAAACATAAAACGAGAATAAACAATAATCCTGAAAGAACACAATGTATACAAAAGACTTTGTTTACTATAAGATTTGAAATTTAGAGCAAAATTTTAGATTTTTTTATTTGAGTAATAAAAATTATTAAATGAGTACAAAAATAAGTGAATTTGCTAAAATATAAATTTCACTATTCATTCAAAATTACAAAAATTTATCAATAAATTTTTTAGTTATAAATAGATTCTAACTCATACCTCATTTTTACCAATAACATTTGCTTCTATACTTGAAATTATTAAATAATGAAGATAGCAAATTTATAAGAAACATTAATTTTTTAATAAAACAAGTAAATAAGAATTATTTTCATATTTAATGAAAAGAAAGATGTTAATCGAATAATTCATAATTTTTTTTTTCAAAATCAAATTATTTATCTCTTAGTCACTTAATAATTTAATTTTATTTATTTAATTCAAAGATAAATGAAATAAAAAAAGAAGCAATAAATTTCTAAAATATGAAAATAAATTAATTTTTTTTTTGTTTTTGACATGACAATAATTTATAAATGAACAAAGTTGTTCAATTAATGATTGGAATTTATGTTGTACATATTGGAATGTACGCACTCATATTTTGAACATATTGAGCTCTAAAGATTTATTACAATAATTATGAAAACATACGCATAGTACGCTTTTTAATTTAAAATTATTTAAGTATATTTTTACATAAAAGAATTACTCAGCAGTTTCAACTTTCAATATGGGCAAAAATATTTTTATATTTTAAAATTGTAGATTGTTATAATTGATTATCACAAATTGAAGAATTAGAATTGAGTCTAAATTAGTGGAATTAAGTAGAATGCGAAATTTATTAATTATTGAAAGTACTATTGTATCTTTTTTTCAAAAAGCTGAAATTTCTAATAGCAATCATCACCTCTTAATTCAAAATACAGAAACTTCATCTTCCTAATAAGAAGTTGCTTTTACATTTCGTAAACTTTCTCTTTAACATCAGAAAGTGTAATGGTTATTAATCTTGCCTGATTTCTTGTTTCTGCATATGCGTTTTTTTCACAAATACATATATAAAAATAATAGCCACAAACTGCAAATTTCATCTTGAACTCATACCCATATAATTAAAAGGAATTTATTGAAAAATATCTCTCCTGAATAACTTCAAGGCAATTTGAATTGTTTAAAATTTTATGAATAATTTTTTTTTAATTTTAAATTACATTAATTGAAAATTCTTGCCACATTTTTTAAAGAAAAACAAAAAGCCACTATTCTTACAAAAAAAACAAGCAAAGGATTTTTCTTAAGTGTTTTACTCTTTATTACATAGAAAGTAATAAAAGAAAAAATAATTTCAATAAAAATATTTCATTTCAAATTTCTGTGCATTTTAATATGTTTAATAAATTAGTCATCAATTGTTGGTGGGCACTTAGTTTTGATACAATCATACGAAAAATTAAAATGTTTCGTTTTTTAAATAAGATTTTCGACAAAATGATGAAATTTGTACTACTCGCGGCGCGTACAAATTTTATATTTTTTCGTTTAATATCAAAATATTTTAAACAAGAAAACATAAAAATTTTTTTTTATAACTTTTTCCTTCACAAAATATTTTTTTAATATCAATAAATTTTTTATAATGTTCCAATATAAATTTATAACATTTTTATTAATGTAAACTAAAATATATTTGTAATAGCTATGTAAAATTGAAATATTTTACATAAATTTAAAATGCATTTTTTATAATAAAAAAAAAATGTTCTAAAATTTTTTGTGGAATGTGGAAAATTTTTATACGAGTATTGGACAAAATCGAAATTATTAATTGATTTAAAATTAATTCTGATTGACTTTAGAATGCATAATTAAATTACCATAGAACTTAATATTATGCACTAATTTTATTGTCTTAGCTAAGCAAACGAAGGAGGTTATAGGTACTCTTGTGAATAATTATGTATATACATATATATATACGTAGACAATCAAAACAGTATAAGTAATTATGTTGTTCAAGCACGTTGTTATAAAAACAGTTGTTTTGAATAATAAGTTCATAAATTTTTAAATTATTAAATTAGGTAAGTTGGTAATCTTCAAACTATTCTTCTCAAAATACAAATTAGGAGTTAAGTGAAAAAATTAAGGCGTATAACTAATGAAGTTCTTTGAGCAAGATTCAGAAGTTTTCTTAACTGGGCATTGTCCGGTAAAATATCTCCTTCACAAACTGGGTAAATTGGATTCTCTTTTGTGTAGATTCTTTTGTGTATAGGGACGATGAGGAGACGGCCATACATATTCTATATGACTGCCCTTCTCTGGTAATCAGGAGACGCAGACGGTTTGTGTGAGTGCGGGAACGTCCTGCCTAATGGATATCTCCGGGTAATAACTTGGGAGCGGGGTTTGTATAAATGAGATATGGAACGGCTACAATAAGCCACAACTGGCCATGGTGGTCGGAGAGAAGGAGTTCCTTTGGTTACCTTTATCTTCAATAATCTGCATTATAAAACTATAGAGTAGAAGTTTCCCTAAATTATGAACTATTAAAAATTAAAATAACTTTAGAAATTAAATTTTGGTGTAAATAAATGTCCGAAATATCACATAATTTTCTCAATTTTAAGGACCCAGGAATCTGGGACATAAAAGGACAAAAATATTAGCCCGATATGTCTATTTAATAAAGTAAAAAGTGTAACATAACTAGCACTAATTTAAGGATAATTCTGATAACAGTTAAAGTTTAATATTACTTCAGTATTTATTAATCTTTCACACAATATTTTATTAATTTTAACAAATTTCAATACAATTCTAAATATTTTTTTTAAATTGTCCAATATTGATTAAATGCCAATCTATATTCACAAAATATATTGACAGTTCTTATTGACATTGTCTTTGAAAATTCACAATATTTTTATTGATCAAAGTCATCGAACACAAGAAACAATGACTAATGGCAATGAATTCGGATTAATTTATATTTAAAATATTTCAAGAATCTATTGTAGACATTTTTTTTTTTAAAAAGTTCAAGTACATCTTTTTTTAAAACTTTGCAATAATTTAAAATTTAACACGCTTTATAATTAAAATTTTGATTTCATACACAAAAAAAAAATATTAAAACTATTTCAAATTTCTTAAAAAAATTTTTTGAAATAAATTCGCATATATTTTTTTTTAATATTTCTAATTTTTTAGAAAAACAAGATTTTATTTTTTAATTCCTACGCATTGTTGTAGAACATTTTTATTTACAAAAGTGAATGTCAATCACAATTTAAATAATTCATTTCTCCGATCAACTCCTACTATTATTTCACCTTCCAATGCCTACACATTTCACATAAATTTATATTATTTTTTATAAACATTAACCACATAGTTTGTATACTCTAAAAAATACTGTAAAATTAACTACATGTGCATGTATCAGCAATTTTAATTACACCAACAATATCATCAATTTTTAATTTTGATCAATCAATTGCAATAATATGAAGTTTTATTTAATATTTACTAAATATTACCTTCATTTTCGAAAAATTCGTAAAAACTAAAATCAAATTTCAATAACAATGTTATAGGAGACAGAAAAAAATTTGAAATAGAAGAAAAATGCTCTTAAAAGTTCAAATACGCTTTCGTAAAAATTCGATTTGGATTTTTTTTTTTTCAAAAATATAATAAGAGTTCGAAATTCAAACTGACTCATCACAAAATTCACAGTACGCACATATTTTTAGCCTTTTTCCAAAAAATTTTTCAAAAACAAAATGCTTATTAGCATCACT